ACAATAAGATCAAACTTCTGCCAATGCAAATCTACCAAGCCTTGGCCGCGTGATGAGTGACTCCAGACGCTCCACATCTTCCTCCAACTCGAAACCGTGCTTGATGCGGTTCCAGTTCTACCACGAACAACCAGACACCCAGCAGGAACGTGCCTCGCACTAAATATAAGATTCCGAAACATCACGACATCGCTCCTCCCCGTTCCCCCGATCGCCAGAGGGGCCCCAAATGACAAATACCATCAAGGCAGCAGAGGAGCCACATCCTTCAGTACCACCGGTAGGGCAACGGAGCAAGGCCAGAAGAGAGAACAAAACAAAAATACAATTTCGCAGTACAGTATTGCAGCGCCGACAGTATACAAAAAAACCCCCCGATTATTCGTTTGTTTTTTTTCGCTCGGGCGGTGCAAACCACGGGACCAAAGATGGCTCTGAGTGTTGGGATTCTCCACTTGGCCGAAACCACGCCAGATCACCGAAGTTTCCCCCTCGCCTGTCAAGTGTCAAATTGTCTCCGAGGCGCGCTAGATTAGAGCGACCGGCGAACTACTGCAGGGTATGGACGGAACTACTCGTGACTCTAGCAGTGCGCTACTGTTTTTATATGGAATTGTGGGACTGCGATGATGTGTGATGTAGAATGGATGCATGACGGAAGGCACATAGGACGTAGTAAACCAGAAGCGCAATATAGCACCCATCCTTGAGAGCGTCAAATGAGTTCATAGCGCCAAGCAGGTGAAGTGAGGATCTCTTGCTGAACCCTGAACGATCGGTCGGTCTGGGCATACCCTGTGTGGTCCGTACAATAGTATAGTAGTAAATGCTTGTATTGCGCAAACGTGCATTGATGTTGTGGAAGTGGATCGTCTGGCTAGGGACGCCCAGCCCTGAGATCGCCTACTTTGTCCATATCGGAATTCGATCTCCGATAACAAAGCTGGGAACCAGATCATCATGAACGGTAGGGTGCTATTGGTTTAACAAATGCTGTGTGCGTGCTAGAGGCATCGATTTGCCGTGAGACGGGTATCCACACGAGTCATCCGAAAAGAGGCTTTTCTCCGGAAGGGCGGGGAAGAAGAAAACCAGGTACAGGGGGAAAGAGCCAAAAAAAAAAGAAAAACCCATCAAGCGTGACGATGAAGATCAGTCCACATCAGGGCCGAGGGTCTGACTGCTGACGCCTGACGGTGACTACTGTATCAAGACGCGAATACTGTTCTACTGTAATCACTTAGGTCACTGAACTTCATATACTCTGAAGAGGCAACACAGAAGGATGTTGACTGAACGTTGAGAAAAAGCAAAACTAAGACAATGGGACAAACGGATCAATAGTTGAACAATAGTTGAGGATATTTAATATCTGTCAACGGCCTTGGTGACGAAAGGGATGATAAAACGTGGCTCTGGAGCAGGAACGGGAGTGCCTCAGGGACCACTAGTCCATGCACGCCAAGGCAGGTAAGAAAAAGCAAATTGAGAATAGCATTCATACGAGTCGTGACGCCTGAGATGCACAAAACGCACCACGGTCAACTTGGCTCTCTCTATGCAGTAACCGATGTCCGAATACTTGTGTTAGAGCTGGCGTACTCGAACTCGATGTTTGCCTGTGATCGGAAGGTCAGCAACTCTTATGGACACCGCGTTAGCACAACCCAGTATTCAGAGTGTCTCCAACTATGGGCCTACTGTATCTATCCAGATAGTAGGTTACGAGATACTGGGAAATGAACTACTGTAAAGCTATCGACATTCCAATCAGACTTTTCTGTCTATGCCTGAGTATTTCTCTTTAGCAAAGGACATAATTGGATCAACCCGTACCAGTCATGACGCTCGCTCATATAGTGCATTACACGACCGAGCAACCCCCATGGCGGGACATTCTGTTTTCTCGATTCTTTTCACGTCCTGTAATTTGCTAAGCGAATTCTTCTGGGATATGAGTATGACGACAACGACAATAGCGCAGACAATATGTGCAGGGATGACCCTTGTTGCATGCCCCAAACCTAAGGATTTGAGGCGGATGGCAGAATTTTCTGCAGAATAGAAAAACTACACAAGAACGCTCCTGTTGCAGTCTGATTGATATATTTTTTTTTCTAAAATGTACTACGCAGTGTTTGTGCAGCAAATGGGATCAAGATGCCTATAGTCTCAGTCGAACCTCCGCTCCAAGCACTTTGGTGGCCCTTTCTTAGCAATGATGCCATTCTTCACTTCAGTTTTGAGCAACCCTGGGTGGCGCCGACGTTCTTTGGTCTCCACAAATTGTTGGCGTGAAATCAACCACATGGCCGCGCTCACAGACTTTCTTACTGGTGGAGTGGGATCTACTAACAGTGGACTAGTGGCCATAAAGGTGCATGCGTCACCATGAGGATCTGTTTTCTTCAATCCACATTCTCAAATCATGTGCAATTTCGATTCTGGCAATAGACTCATTGAACCTGTATTTAGAAAGTAGCACCTCAGCGAAGTCAGAATTTGTGTAACTTGTATGACTGATTCATCGGCGTATGCTCTCAAGCTCGGTTACTCAGGGAGAATCCTATCCACGCCTGGGCAGATTACATGGATGTTTCGGTACTCGGCTCCTGATGGTCCAGTAGCCCTAATTCACGTCTGCCCTGAATTGGTAGGAGAGCATGTGCAGACTGCAGACACTAGAGGGCAGAGTGCTGATAGCCTCCAGCTTTGTCTAGCTTCGCATGACTGCTGTATTTCCTCGGCCGCGACCGTCAATGTCTTTTCTTTTCTTTTCTTCTTATTGTTTTGAAAAGAAAAAAGAATGATTTTCTCTGTATTTTTTGCCTAATTCAATTTTCTCAGCCACACGAGGACCGAGCGCAGCCCGAGTGTCCATTCTCATTATGAACCAATCAGAGAAAGATAAAATCACCCGGTTGTAGAGAGAGAAAGGGAAGAGGAAGCGAGACCTACTGTACAACAAGAATAGATATACATGCTCCAAAGTGGCTGATTCAGGTGGTGTACATATGCCGTTTACAGAGTAGCCCGGGTCAAATTGCCCAGATACGGGAGTACTTAGTGAGTGGCATGACTAGTGTGTGCGTAACTGCGTACTGCCTACTACTAGTGCCTAGTAGCCTACTATGCTGTCTATCGACTTGGAGGGTATTCTTGACAATGATTCAGATAAAGACTTTGTTTGCACTGAGTAGCTGACCCGGTCTCCGCAGATATGGTAGACCGGACACTATGCATTCGAAACACGGGAGTCAGTGTACAAGCTACCCTGAGTCATGTGGATCGCAGCTCATACATTAGTAGCTCACGTTGGTCCGAGTCAAATCTATGTATAATTGCATATTGTACAATGTACACCACACCCAACCCGACACCGTGACCAGAAAACCATTCACAGCGGCCGCCATGTGTCAATCTGTTTCGCTCCTCCCCGAAAAGACCCCTGCCAGCATGCATTTAGTCATGAGGATCTGCACCTTAAGGTTAGACACGTGAAAAACACTGTGCCGGGTGTGCCCAGCCCAGTCTCCGGATGGAGAAGCGGATATTGAAGCGAAGATCACGTTCACGGCACCCGCACTAGAGACGCAGGAGGTTGCCCGAGAGGAGACCATCCCATTGATCATGCAGATTATGAGACTACTTGGAGACAGGCTATGGCCAGGGGTGGTAAAGATCTGCTGTGCTTAGATCAACGTGCTGGCGCTATTATCGCTATGATCGATCCCAGTACCGTGGGCAAGGGCTCATCAAGGTTTGCGTAAACGGTAACACGGTTGAAGATCAAGGTGGAGGACGGAGAGGTGAGGGTCGCCGTCTCCAGTTTGAGAGATGGTTCCAGCAACGACTGTTACAAAGTCATGGGTCAGAATAGCGGGGGGAGAAAGTCATCTCGCCGTTGCAACTGCATGGCTTTTTTTGTACATCCTCGCCGACCCCGTTACGTGCATGGCCTTGGGAATATGAAATCCAGTAGAGGGGAGAAATCGTGGGTAGCTGCTACCACACATCTATACAAAGGGTGACTGGGCGAAAGATAATGATATTGTATATAAAACAAAGGACAAAAATGCTAGGTCAGTCCACAGGAATCGTACAAGACACCAACATTGTCAAAAGGACGCCACATGCTCTGATCTCTACTACTCTCACAAATGCAACCATGAATGTATCCTTTCACACACACTCGTACATGCATACTCTCTCTCTCTCTCTCTCTCTCTCGCGTGCGCGCACACACACACACACACACACGCGGGTATACTCTCGCACATTGACCGTGGCCAGTACCACCAGTTCATCGCTACAAAAGTAGCTATATTAATGGGTTGTCTTCTGACAAGTGTTCTTCCGCAGCATATCGGGGTCAGTACCATAGTCATCCCTTTGTCATCGTTGACATGACTGAACCCAGTGAGCTGTACCGTGTCCTGCAGCCCCACGCCCGCACGGTCCCCTTCGCTGAAATTCCCTATTGCGGAAACCATTCTCTTGGGTCTACCGCCAGCGGAGGTGACAGCGAAAAAAAAAACAAAGTGCAAGTCCACTTTCCACGAGGAGAAAGGGAAGGGGTCAAAGCAGGAATATCAGGGACGGTAACCCATCATGGTTGACGAACGGCCTGAGCGCATCAACGCAGGTTTGGAAAGAAATCAAAAGGAGTCAAGGTGATTACAGATAGACCGCGAGTACCACAGCTGCCTGGCGTCCCAAATCGGGTGTAATACCTCGATACTTGGAAATTGCGCCAAGTCGTCGCAAGCGATCACGAGGACTCGTATGGAGGTGGTCGGCTCCGTAGAAGAAAGAATAGATTGGGAAAAGGACACAAGTGCGAAGTACTCTTAGTGAGTCCAGTCTTCGGTCGGCCCCCCTTCTTCCCAGGATCAGGGTGTTTGAGGTCGACAATCGAACTCGCTCGGTTGCAACTTGAACAAGGGAACCTAGACCACGCACGACGCATAGACGAGAACATCTGTTCTGGCGTGAGCCCCTCAGCGTCGCCGTCTCAATCGGTGTTCTTTCCCCTTCTTGGACCTCTTCTTGCTCTTGTCCACAGGGAGAACCAGAGGTTCATCTCGCATGTTCCATTCCATGAAGCGGAGCAGATATTCATCAATGTGGTGCAGCTCAGTGTCTTCACGGGCGCTTGCTTTGGCGTCCGTAGGGTCAACACCATCAATGGGCAACGGTGTGCCCTCCCCTTCGACAGGGAGAGGGGTGCCAGCCTGAGCGGGAGTGCTTTGAGCGGGAGTGCGGTCATCAAAGTCACCGTCATCGGCATGGTCAAGCTCCTTCTGAGCATTCTTGGCCGCAACGATGTCTTCCGTGTCCTCGACCTGCTCAAACGCCTTTCCGCCACTGGCAACTCGGTTGCCGAGCACGCGGTCCATGGCAGCACTGGCTTCATCTTGACCATCACGAGCGTCCTCTCCCTCGGGTAGGCCCTCTACGTCACGGAGCTTGGTGAAGTAGTCCGTGGTGAATTCACCCTCTTGGATGATCACGTCATCAAGCATGCGCTTTTGGTTGGCTTTGCGCAGAATATTGGACTCAATAGTGTACTCCGAAACAAATCGATAGATGTGCACATCGCGAGTCTGTCCAATACGGTGACAGCGATCTTGGCATTGCTTGTCCATGGCTGGATTCCAGTCCAGGTCGTAGAAGATCACAGTGTCAGCACCCGTGAGATTGATACCGAGACCACCGGACCGACTAGATAGAATGAATGCCAGAATGCGAGGATCGCTGTTAAATCGCTCAGTCAACATCTGGCGTGACTCGACCTTTGTAGTGCCATCAAGCCGAAGGTAGCGATGGCCATGGATATTGAGGAATTGCTCTAGAATATCCAGCATCTTGGTCATCTGCGTGAAGATCAGCGCACGATGACCGCCTGCTTTCAGGTCTCGCAGGAGCTTGTCCAGTCGCTGAAGCTTGCCACAGTCGTATTGCAGCAGTCTCTTGTCGGGGAAGGCGATGGACAGGCGCATTCGTGCCTCGTGGAAGGGATCGTACGACTGGTCCTTGGACGTGTTTGTGAGCAAACGGGTCTCAACAGGGGTCAATGCGGCCTCGGTAGTGCCGGCTGCAACGGCTGCAGGGGTAACGCAAGCAAAGCGCTGGACATATCCGTCCATCTCGAGTGAGCGTTCCTCAATGTTCAGAATCATGGAGGCGAGAACAGAAGAACGACTAGACAGCCATTCTGCCATGTTGCTCTTTCGAAGTGGCGCGTTTGACAAGGCGTGCTCCTTGCTTGTACCCGCTCGAAGGAATTCAATCAAGCTGCTGCCGTACACAGGTCGACGACCGTGCCGCTTTGATTCAAAGTACAGACAACGCTCCAACTCTGCCATCCTGCGTTTGCGACTGGCATTCTCCAAAGAGTCGAGAGTCGACTCCATGGTGGAGCCGTCAAAGCTCATTTGCCAATTCGTCCGCTTGTACTGACGCTCACGTAGTGTCTTGAAGGGCCCGTAAGCCATCAACCGAATGCTATCGTCTGCCAGTCTACGCGAAATGTCCTCTCTCGACACGGGTGCAAGATTGAGGAAGTCAAGGTCCACTTTGGTGAGGGGATGCTCAAATAGGAGACGCCGACGCACTAGAGACTCCTTTACATTGTAATCCGTAGCAACAGATCTTGGCATGGCAAATGATGTCGAGATAGGTCGGGTCTCAAAGAGATCTGGATGGTTGCAGACCTTGCGAAGCTGCATGAGACAGTGGATGATCGAAAGGAAGTTTCCTGACGCCAGTGTTTCCTTGGTCTGCGCCATAGACATGAACCCGTCGTAGAGGAATCGCTGACGTTTGGACAGTCGGCAATAAATGACGTGTTCGTACTTGCCGGGCATCTGCTTCTCGACATCCGCCTTAAGTCGACGCAAGATATACGGACGTAGAACAGTATGGAGCTTGGTCACCACTCGCTTTGCTTCTTCATCCATCGTCTCCCTTCCATGCTCCAGGATTTGCTCCACCGGTCGCCGGAACCACTCCGAGAAGTCTCTTAGGTCGGCGAATCCCTCGATACCGTTTCCGTCACCGTCGGAAGGCATCAGAAAGAAGAGAAGAGACCATAGTTCAGTCAGGTTGTTCTGAAGCGGTGTTCCAGTGAGGAGAAGTCGAGCCCGTGTCCGGAAAGTCAGCAGGGCTTGCCATCGTTGCGAGCGGAAGTTCTTGATGTTGTGAGCTTCGTCGAGAATCATGTAGTGCCAGTTCCTTCTCTTAAGAGAGATCTGATCCTGAAGCACAAGTTGATACGAGGTGATCAAGACGTTCCACGCGTTATCATCGGTCCAGCCACGACGTTTTGCCTTGCGCTCTTCCTGGTTACCGTAATAAGTCATGATCTTGAAACCGGGACACCATTTCTTGAACTCCATCTCCCAATTCAGCATTACACTGGTTGGCACAACCACGAGATGCGGTCCCCAGACGCCATGGTCGACCGCCAGATGTGCAAGCAGGGCAATAGTCTGAATAGTCTTGCCAAGACCCATCTCGTCTGCCAAGATACCGTTGATGTGGTTCTTGTAGAGGCCTGCGAGCCAATCCAGTCCATAGTGTTGATACTCGCGAAGGGTACCACGCAGGAGGTGTGGGATCGGTGTCTTGAGACCAGGTGCGGACGAGTCGCCTACTTGGAGCTGTTTCTCTGAACTTGGTTCATATGAGGAGACGGACTCCGGCTCGGACGGTTTCGTTGCCAATGTGCCTGGGGAGGCTTCGCTCGAAATTTCGCCGCCAGGTGCGGGGCCGCTGTCAACGTTGTCATTCGGGCTGACGTCCATCGGATGAGGCTCGGCTTCGTCATCGGGTGAATCTGAATTTCTGGATTCAGCAGCAAGCACCACAGAGGTCTCATGGTTTGCAACTTGATCCTGGATTTCTGAAGGGGTAGCAACCGCTGATGCATCGCCCATTTCAGTCGAAGTCGGTTCGGCTGAAGCTTCCACAATCTCCATCGGGGTTCCTTCTCGCGAGGACTCATGCTCATCGGGAATGACAGAACTTTCAACAGGGTCTTCAAATCCGACGTCATCTTCCTCGTCGCCGCCGGCTTGTCGGCCTTTGAACGCCGGGAGATCATTCGACGAGAAGAACCCAAAGAGCCCAGGTGCGTCATCATCATCTTCGTCACTTTCCTCTTCAGAGCCTCCGTCGCGAGATTCAAGATCGTCGTCGCTGTCACCCATGTCATCATCCATGTCTGTCGATTCGTCGTCGCTTTCGTCCAAGAGGACCGAGTCCACGTCGTCGAGCGGGGCAGGAGTCGCTTGGGAGTCAACTTCATCGTGCACTAGCTCGCTATCGATAGCTGACGCGGGAACTCCCGCAGTCACTGAAAGTCCATCTTGTTCATCTTGTTTATCCTCGTCGGGCAGGTTTGCGTACTTCATTCGAAGTTCTTCGGCAGTCAATTTAGCGTCATCGTCCAGATTGGCTTCATCGTCCGTTTCAGACTCGGAGGATGACATATTGCTCTCGTCGTCTGTATCAGATGAGTGAATCTCGGAGTCCGTTTCATCGGCGTCGTCGTCTTCACTGGTGACGGGAGCGTCACTGTTCGTTTCACCCAAGATCTCCGATCGACGCTTCTCGAACAGCATTGTGGACTTCTTGATCGCACGATCGAGAGCTTGCTGATCTTGCACCTTTCGCTCCTCTTCCCAACGAGCCAGTCGTGCGCGGTCGACCTCGGCTCGGACCAGATCGAACATCTTCTGAAGGTCCTTCACTACCTGCTTCCGTTTGCCCCGTACCTCTTCTTGCTGCTCGCGAAGAATATCTTCGGGATTCTTGTGGCGCTTTCGGTATGCGTCAGCGCACCACTGGGCGAAGAGCTTGGCCGTCTGGCGGTGTCGTTTATGTTCTTTATCCAAAAGCTTTTGAAAATAGAGCGCATGAGCTACGAGATGGTCCTGATGCGAGTATTGAGGAGGCGGCTCCTCTTGTTGATCGGTGATGTACGCTGAACAAACTTCAGAGCTGAGAAGCCCGCCTGGCTCGGCTGCATCAATGACAAGACGTCGCCTCTTAGCCTCTTCGACTGCCTGCTCCGATGACAAAAGGCTTGGTTCATCTTCCTTGTCAATCCACTCTCGGAAAGAATTGTACTTCTTGGTGGCAATATGACCGGGATGGCGGATAGGAAGCACCGGCTTTTTGACTTTGATTCGCAACCTTGGAACTTTAACCGAGCCATCCTCTTCATCTCCATTCGCGGCTTCGATGCCACCGACACCATTTTCGGCGCCGGGGGAGTTGCTTGAAGGGAAGACCGATCGCGAAGGTGACGGGGGCTAGCACCGTTTGCTGCAGCGCGCGTCGAACGTTGGGCATGAACAGAGCTGCGGGATCTTGCGCGGGAAAGGGAAGTGGATTTCGTTGCTGGTGATTGTGAGACTGCCGGCTTCGCAGCTGCGACTGCCTTTGTTGACGCTGTCCGCGGTGATCCATTTGACGAAACCTTGCCACCCACCTTATTGTATAAGCCGGCTCGAGAACTTGTCACAGTCAGCGGTGACGACGTTGCAGGCTTTGCGGTGTCGCGAACATTCTTTGGCGCGTGCTGGGATTGTGCTCCACGAGTTTTGCGTTTGTCGGACGGGGGTTGCATCTCCATCGGGACCGCATTCGTTCGCGAGGACCGCCGACGACCCTCCACCGTAAATGAGGTCGGTCCATCTATCCCAGCCTTTTTCCATGGTGGCGAAGGGGGCCTGGGTGTAGAGCGACGCGATGGAGTCGATTCAGTCAGGCGACGCTTCTTCGAGGGTGGGCCCTCTGTTTGAGTTGGAGGCTCGTCGACCGGTTGGCCTTGCGGAATCTCATCGGAAGTTTTCGAATTATCTTGAATTTCTAATGCGGCTGCTTCCAGTACAGGAGAGTCTGGGACCGGAGTCAGGTAATCATCTCGCGGCGATGGGCTGCTCGGGCTGCCGTTTTGCATGACTTGGTGCCGTGGACGACAGGGGCCGTGTGGACACTTTACCCCAGCTATCCCGGCAATGACGTGGTTGAGGGTGGTGATTTTGGCATCAACGAGTAGGGCTAAATGTGTAAATACAGCCCCCGAAGTCTGGCATGCTTATCGGCACTGTAGCGTTGATGAAGTCGAAAAAACGACCAAGATGGAGGGATTGCGTGAAGAGGTGGTTTTTTCGCCGGGGGGGGGCGAGACGGTCAGTTGTAAGCGCGCCGCGCCCGGATGCCTTTGGTGCCTTAGGCCGCTCTACCGCAAACCTCCCTCCGTTCCATCATCGACTGCATTCACCTTATCCGACACCCTTCCACTCACTCTCCGCGTTCAAGCTGATATCCGTCAGAGCAGTAAGTGCTTCTTGAGATTTGCTCGGAGACAATCATGCCTTTATCTATTGTACTGACGCTCAATTTCTGCAACAGATGCTGTCCCAACGGATTCTGGCACGCCGCCTGCCCCAGGTCGTTGCCCGTAGCACCATTGCTCCCCGCGCATCCTTCTCTCAGATCCCGGCTCTTCGTGCTGCCGATGTCGAGGATCCCTTCCAGGTACAATACTTCGCATTATGACCAGGCATCTCATGCCATTGTTTGGCCATTTCAGCGGCGGAAGCTAACACTTGCCTCAGAATGGCAACTACCAAAACCCTCCCCGCGTAAAGCGCCAGTTCAGAGATCCTTATGGCGGGTGGTGGGATAAGCAAGAGAAGCGCAACTTTGGCGAACCCGTTCACGAGGACAACGAGATTCTTGGTGTCTTCAGTCCCGAGCAGTACTCCCACGTCAGCTCCCGCAAGGCCTTCCGTCACCTCGGAGTGTTCGTGGCCACTTTCCTGACCCTGTGCGGTGTTGTCAGCCTCTACTACCCCGACAAGCCCAGTGCTCCTAAGGTCTATGTTGATGGCCTGGAGAAGGAGCTGGGTGGCCCCAATGCTGTTCCGGTACGTGTTCCCTGCATCAAGCGTCATCCGGACGACGCGCTCATGCCGTATGCGGAACTGACTTTCCACCCATCGAACAGGCCCGCAAGTCCGGTGAGGACAAATGGTAAAACTGATACTTTTGATCTCTTCCGCTATCCTTCTTTTTTTTATGCGCTGTGTGTGTAAATACCAATTCGATTTTGTTTCCTATACGCAAGCAGCCCTCGCGGGTCCAAAGGCCACCCGGTGAGATAAGCAGCCGGATAGCTCACAGCCAAGAACCTTGAAGACTCGAGGTACTTGGACGATGGTCAACAACGATTAATACCCTCAATTACCATTGAAGATGCTGCGATTCGGCAAGCTTGATTGACTTGGCCACTGCGCAAAGCAGCTGATGACCCTCCGACGGGCCCGCAACGGGTACTAGGGCTCCCAAAGTGGCTGTTCTATGAGTCCACAACTCTACATGGCCTTGGGACGCATACTTCCAAGTTTCAACCCGTCTTGACTGTGGCCCACACTGATTCCAGTGAAGCTCGAGGTGCAATACAAACTCCTTGATTCCTCAAGTCACCACTGATTCGCCCAAGGCTCACTAGAAAATGCTTCACTTTGCTCCCTGTGGTCATTTCGTTCCTCGTGCAACATCCTTGCGTAAATCTGGCGCCCAAGGACCTGCAGGCCACAATCATGCAGTAGAAAATGCCCTCACGTCCCCATAAATAGTTACCGACCTTGATAAGCCTCCTTGTGTCAAAGCTTGGCGAATGAAAGTACCTGAATCTTGCCTTGTCTGCTGTTTTATCCACGCGCCTCTACTACGTAATATAGACTACATGGATACTTTGGGCATCCATCGATTATGATTGTTTTTGGTCCGGGCGCATGTACGTCAGTTTGGTTTGGCGGCTTTGGGCCGTTTCATCAACCCGTTTTGCCCCCTCCTTTCTTCCTCCTTCATATAAACTATTCATAAACAACCTCATTCTTTATTCGCCCCCAGCGCGCCCCCCTCCCCTCCTTTGACCCTGCTGGAAAGATACTCTGTCCACCTGCTTGAGGAAACTTATCTTTTCTTTAACACACACAGAAGCAGCGAGCGACTTGCCATCTTTTGAGCGACACTGTCCCACGCGCGCGGCAGCCGGGGGGGTTTTAAAGTTCCACACCTCGATCTATGGTCCCGCATTCCGCTGGCTCCCCTCACAAAGCAGCAACCCGAACGGAGACAGTAGAGCCTCATGTCGACAGCTTCCAGACAGTCGCGAGGTTTCAACCGACGGATCAACAGTCTGCAGAATGAAGGTCGTCATTCGCGCAATTCGTCTCTGTCGCGCCGGCGACCACTCACCGCTGCCATCGCAAGCAGCCATGCGCTTCGCGTAGCCTACCTGACCTACCTCCTCCAACCGCGATCTCGCCGAGTCCAGAATGTGTCGCCTGCGCCTGCACGTCCCAAGCGGTCCTCGACATCGATTCATGATCTCATGAGCGACTTTTCGCTGGTCAGAGATTCAAAGAGTACAAGGATTCCCCATGGCTTCGTGTCGGAACTGGAGAAGCGATTGACGGGGGTGTTGATGGGACGCGAGAAGAAGAAGGAATACCAAGATCACCTGGTGGTGCGCACATTTGCCGTCTTTCTGAATGTGCTCAAGGAGGACTCTTTTCGCAAACGCATGGAAAAGGACCGCCGAGCTGAGGATCTACTACTGATCTTCTATTCCAATGCGGTAAAGGAGCTGAGCAAGGGCAAGGAGCAAGACGATGATAGCTGGAAGCTGATGGTGGATCGGCATGTTGCACTGTTTGTACGTCTGTTGGCGCTGATATTGAAGAGCAACGACTGGGCAAGGGATCGTCCAGAGCTGGCCAACCGACTGGCGGTACTTGAAAATAAGCTTCTCCTGCAGGATCAGGATTTGATGGATTCGAGTCCCGCGACAACGACGACGGAAACGCTTGCGCCCCTCAGCCACGACGTAAAGGATATGCCCCTGGTACAACATGTGATCAAAGTGTTCGGCATGACGACGACGCAAGCCCAAGCTGAAATCGACAAGAACAAGTCCGTATGGACAGAAAAGGCAGCACTTCAGGATCTCAAGACGTACCAGACCCAACTGAGCCTCCATACGCGCAAGACCTTGTGCCGAGAGGACTTTGAGACGGACGAAGCATTCGAAACATGGAAGAAGAGCGAAGGACCAGATTTGTCGCAGATGATGCTTGCAATTGTACAGTCCAATCCTGAACTGGCCAAGAGTACCCCGGGAGCCCTGCCACACTTCAATCCTGCTGTTTCTGATGAACTCTCCTCGCCCCGGGACCGCACTTCTTATTCTATCGATCAATCTTTAGACTTCAGCGCACTGTCACTCGGCGGGCAGGACGGCGATGGAGAGGAATCAGGTACCTACACATTCATTCCGTCTGACCCCCGGGCCGTATACCGGTTCATTTTGAATCAGACACTGTCCCATGATCTTCGTGACCGCGAGATTGAGGCTAGTCAGGCCACTGCCGACACGCCATCAATCAAATTATTGTCCAAGCAGTCGATGGAGATGCTCAATGAAATCTGCCTCCGATGGAGAATTCCTCCCTTTTCGAGAGTTGTGTTGTTTCTAGACGTCGTTCAATCCAAATACGTGGATTCGGAAATCGACCTCAACACCCTGGATTCAGCATTCACGTTTGCGAAGGAGACGCCCAACACTGAGCCGCGAGCCAAGCGCAGCAGTTACGTGGCGTCCGCCGTTTTCGACCGTCAAAAGTGGACTGTCCACGATCTTCAGGCGATGCAGCAACTACTGTCCAAACTTCATGAGGCTCTGCTGCGCGAACTGTACGACGTGATGATGGATTGTTTCGAGGCGAAGCCTCGACCGATTGGCCCAGTCATGTACATTTTGGAGCACCATATTCAAATGGATCCCAGTTACACGGAGGATCCACAGGATATCAATCGTTTCTCGTCCTACGTTCAGGACGGTCTTGCAGCAAAGGCCACCGAGAAATATCAGAGCTTGATTAGTCAAATGATCCCTGTTGAGCAGGAGAAATGGCAATTCGACAACATCATTCAGCTAAGTGATGCAATTTCGAAACTGGCGCAGAAGATTCAGAAGCGATACCGAAATAATCCCGAAATTATGGGGTGAGTGATTCAGACCCTTCGGCTCATTCACCACAGGCCCTTCTAACGATCGACTAGTGTCAATCCTTATCTCATCCTTTGCGTCAATATTCTCCCCATGTTCGCAGAGGACGCGAATGAAATGGTTCTCCGAATCATGGATCACTGCAAAGCCGAGGATAGGGAGATAGATATCGAGGACGGATTTGATTTGTACAGAAACTTGGCGGCAATCAGGCGTCTTTACACGAACTCGATCTCCGAGTAAGAAGGCACCGATCCCCCATTATGAGACCACATCAGTATGCTAATCAGAGTGTCTCACAGAACTCCATTCCCCTTCCATGTAGAGTCTCTACTCGAAGAATTTGTATGGCGTTGGCTTCGTCTGACAGATCAGAGCGTAATGGAGTGGGTGAATCAAGCGATCCGCCAAGACAACTTCACCGTCCGCGGAGATGAGCTGGCCGAGTCTGTTGCTGAAGACAAACGGCATAGCGTTTCGGTAATTGACATCTTCCGATCTTACAATCAAGTGGTGGAGAACCTGGTTGGGCTGGGATGGGACGACGACCTCCAGTATGCAAAGTTCATGACCGCTCTTTCCAAGTCTATAGGCAAGGGAGTTGCCAAGTACTGCGAATCACTGGAGCAGATGTTTGCCCGGGAGATGGACAAACTGACGCCAGAGCAAGAGGCAGCTTTGAACCAGACCACTCAAGAGAAGCTGATGCAATTTGCAAAAGACACTTGGACGAACAAGGACAAGATTGAACCCTTCCAATTCTCATCCGAGGTAAGTGTTAAGCTCACGAGAGGCTTGGATTATTTATTTTTTCCTGCGATCCAAAAATCAATTGAAGCTAAGCTGACCATTCTGCTTCGGACAGTCCCTAGTCAAACTAAACAACATTGAATTCGCGCTCACGCAATTGGACCGACTCGAGCGGGAGATCAACGTTGATGCATGCGCTGATGTGATTGCGAGAAACACGCCCGCTCAGCTAAAGAAAATCCGCAAGTCCACTACATACGTCTTCACAATCAAAGTGGTAGAGGCCGAAGACTTGAAGGCTTGTGATATGAACGGTGGCAGCGATCCGTATGTGGTATTAACCGATGAATACCAGAAGCGGATAGCAAAGACACGCATCATCTACAATAATCTAAATCCTCGATGGGAAGATGCCGTCGATATCACCACGCAGGGTCCCTTGAACATCATCGCCACCATCTGGGATTGGGATGCTGTCGGTGACCATGACTACGTTGGTCGCACGTCTATCAAATTGGACCCTGTTCATTTTAGTGATTTCCTTCCACGAGAGTATTGGCTGGATCTAGATACTCAGGGGCGGCTTCTGCTTCGTGTGAGTATGGAGGGTGAACGAGATGACATTCAGTTCTACTTTGGCAAAGCGTTCCGCACATTGAAGCGTACCGAAAGGGACATGACGCGGAGGATTACTGAGAAGGTGAGTTGTCTCTCCTCGTCCCTCTCTCCCTCTCTCTCTCTCTCTCTCTCTCTCTCTCTCTCTCTCTCTCTCTCTCTCTTCGCAAGCAATTAATGCACTGGGAGAACAAGTCTGAATCTTGGTCGCAATGCTAATATACTTTCGCCAGCTTTCTGCCTACATCAGTCACTGCTTATCTCGACGGACCCTGAAATCATTACTGTCGCGCGGGATTGGCGGCATCAGCATGTCTACCGTATCCAACTTTCTCAATCGCAATCGGGGAGTGCCAGCGACCTCCACAGGCCCGACGGCAGCGAACGTGGAGAATGCGCTCGATCCCCTGTTTAGCTACTTCAATGACAATTTCGCCATCATGAACAAGACGCTCACAGAGGAAGCTATGCGAATGGTCATGGCCCGTCTGTGGAAAGAAGTCCTTGCCACGATCGAGAGTCTCCTCGTCCCTCCACTCTCAGACAAACCCTCCCACCAGAAGCCGCTCACGGTACAAGAAGTCGACATTGTCTCACGCTGGCTCGTGCTACTCCTGAACTTCTTCCACGCCGTCGACGAAGAGACCGGCGAAGCAGGCGGCGTGCCCCTCGACATCCTCAAGTCTCCCAAATATCACGAAATCCAAAGTCTGAATTTCTTCTACTTTGAGCCAACCGAGAATCTCATCCGCACTTCGGAGCGCATGGCCTCTGCAAACGTCAATCGACAACAAGCCAATCGCAACCGATTATCGGCGCCTGCCCATCTCGGCGCGACAGGCCCGGGACACGGCTCCCTGGGTATACCAGCGACTCGTCGCGCCAAGAGCATCATGCTCTCGCGCAATCTGGGCACCATGAAAAAGGTGAAAGAAGAAAAGCGACGAGAGGCACAAGCCGATCCCAACGACGACATGATCCTGCGAATCCTGCGGATGAGACCCGAGGCAGCCGGATATCTTCGAGACCGCAGTCGTCAAAAGGAGAGACTAGCCGCCGCCGCGGCTGCAGATGCCATTGTGAAACAGAGTCTGATGGCGGGCGTGGGCAGTCGAATGAGTTCAACAATCCCACGTCGTTGATCTCAATTCCGAGGCGATCGGTATGCATCCGGCACCGATATGACGTCGCGAGAAAAACCACCCGTGGCGATTGAAGGTGAAATGTCTGTTGTATTTGTACGAATATTCTATTTTTGGGGGGGGGGGGTCTTTTCTTTGGTTTCCGGGAGCACTGCACAGACGAGATTCGAGAACTCAAAACAATGGACAAGACCTATTCTGTTCTGTTTTGCTCTGGGCCCAGGTTGCCGCCCCCTAACGTTCCTTTCTGGATCTCCTGGCTAATCTTCCTCTTTTACTCGGGTGTCGCCTTTGTAATCTCGTTGGTTTTTTTTTGTGTTTTTGTCCCTGTGCGCCATCCACCCCCCAGCTGCCCTGTTTGTGTTTCTTTTCTATTCTCTCTTTCCCTTGGACTCCTACTGTGTTATGGTTGTGGCGTGTATCACTGTATCTAGCGATTGATAGGGTCTTTGGTCTTTGGCCAAGCGTGCATGAACCGTAATGTGATCTGTCTCTGCCTGTTCTCGTGTTGTTACAGTGCGCGATTTGAATCGTGTGTCTACTGTCTACTGTCTACTGTCTACTGTCTACTGTCTACTGTCTACTGTCTACTGTCTAGTCCTACTGTCTTAGGTAGGTAGTGGGCTAGTCCCACTAATATACCTACTGTAGTATCACTACCTTACTATCTACCTACAGTAGTTACTAGTAAGTTAGTAACAGTGCTATATTTACTCTACACTGTACAGTATATACCGACGGAAAAATCACATCATATCAAGACGCACCCAAAGGGCAAGAGAGTCAACCAGACTGTTGATCCGTGATCCGGACCTTCCCCGCAGACCATCTACTCGAGGAAATGGAGCACGAGAGGAGCAAGACGAACCAAAAGCGAAGGAAAAAAAAAAGAAGAGGAAATGTCATGATATATCTATTTTGACAATAAGGCGGGATCGGAGGCCCGCTCTATTCCCGCGCTTTTGGAAAGTTTTGAGGATTGTTCAGGTGTAGCAGAGAAGGAGAGGGGGCGGAGCGGGGCGGAGCGGAGATGGGGGGGGGACGTTTTCTCCTATTTACATGTCCGGGTCGTTTTATTGATGTCGCTTTTTTTTTTCCTTTTGTGCGGGGTCGGGGATAGAGAGCTTGAGAGCTTGAGAGCTTCGAGGGTGAAATGTCGACTTCTCGAGACGATCGCAGAGTCCAGCTTCGATGACTCAATGTGTGTGAGAGAGAGCGCGAAAATCATTGCGCGACGAGAATGCGAGGTACGCGGAATTCCACTCTCAAGCCTGGACTGTTTGTTTGTTTGGTTTTTCTTTTTTTTTTCTTCGGATGCCAGTCAAGACGCCAACTCTCGGTGCTGCAAGGTTCACTACACCCCGGAAGAGAATATGGAGCAACGCGCAAAGCAGCCCTTTTTATATCCCCATCTGACCGCGGCAGGCCAAGGTCTCCCTCCCTCGGTCGGTCCACCCAAAATGGAAAGGAGAGAGAACCAGGAGCATTGTCGACGGATTGCAGACCCTCAAGACGGGACACTCGAAATATCCGAGAGATCAACAAGACAATCGGGACAAGGGATACGAGGACTCGAGGACCCGGGTCGAGGCCAAGCGACCATTTTAGGCCTGGCCGGAGAGCAGAGTGTAGACGGGAGCGGGGAGCTTGTCACGGCCCTTGAGGAACTCGAGTTCGAGAATGAAGATGAAGCCGAGCAGGTCACCGCCCATCTTGCGGATCATCTCACCACCAGCCCAAGCGGAGCCACCTGGAAGACGAGGAGTCAAGAGTCAGTAAAGTGGTAACAACGACACTCTGGCAAGGATAGCAATGTGTGAAAAGAGCACGACTCTCTTCCATGGTTTCGATCAGAGATCCATCTCCACCCCCCACAGGCGACTGTTCACTCAACAGTCAAAGTCACAGATGTACAACCCGTCGCACAATCAATTGACAAGAGACATGCAATGCAAGGCCTGGAAATGAAAAAAAAAAAAAAAAAAATGGACATCACTCTCTCCACACGGCCAGCACTCTAATCCCGTGTCTCTCTCACAGTTGCACTTACCGGTAGCAATGATATCATCCACGACAATCACCTTCTGTCCAGGCTTGATGGCCCCCTCCTGCATCTGGAAAAAGTCCTGACCATACTCCTTCTCATAGGCCTGGGTGACACAAGGACCGGGCAGCTTGCCCTGCTTACGCACGGGCACAAAGCTGGCACCCAGACGCAAGGCCAAGCTGGGCCCCATCAGGAAGCCCCGAGCCTCCAGACCGACGATGACATCGGGCTTCTGGCCCCCGTAGGCATCGAGGATGTGCAACTCCAGGGAGCGGATGAGGGACTCGTGCAGCTTGGGGTCGGCGAAGATGGGCAGGATGTCTTCGAAGAGGATGCCGGGGCTGGGGAAGTCGGGGAACTGGCGCAGGGCAGCGCGCAGGCCTACTTTAAGACTGGCGAGTTCGGCGGAGCTGGAGGCATGGGTGGTGGAGTGGCCGGAGACTTGGGCGGAGGCATCGGGCTGGGTGGAAGTTGAGGAGGACATGGTGAGAAAGAGGGGAGAGGAGAGAAGAGAAGGTGAGAAGAAAATAGGGGAGAGGAGGGGTTGAGAGAGTACAGGAGTGACTGTGACTGTGACTGTGAGGGGGGGGGGGGGGGGGGGAGAGGAAAAAAAAAAAGAAAAAGAAAAAGAGGAAATCGGCTGAGGTGGTGAAATGGCGGAATCTGGTGGAGGGGCTGTCTGGGCCAGACCGTCCGGGATCCGCAGGGCCACGGTTGTCGTGCAACGAGGTAGAAGTAGAGTCATGGATAGTGACATCCATGGATGGAAGATGTTTTCTGAGTATGATTGCTCGTGTGACTCTTCGATATAGCGGTGCCACTGTATAAGGATTGCAACGATCATGGACGATATGCTGTCCAGTTGGGAGATGCTGAAAAGGGTAAATCGCGCTGTTACGGACCAAAATCGATCTTGATCAAAATCACGACCAAAAGTACGACTGCTGAAGGTCCACACGGGTTGACGTCTGATAAGCCGCATTGCCTAAGGGTTGTATCCGGTACTTCTACCGGGCAAGATGTGCCCAGTGTGCTTCAAGTACCGGTGACTCCACTGCTCCAATCCATGCGGTGTAACGCAAGTCACCACGGGTCCTTCGGTACTGCACGTTTACCCCTCGGCGGGGTACCGCAGGCGTCCAGATGATATGCAGAAACAGACACGATGCAAAAGGATGAGCAGAATGTTCGACATGGGCTGGTCAGATAGCACCACGATTTCAAATGAAGGAATTCCAGCTTGTCTGGATATATCCATCTTCAAACTTGACTCGTGGGAGACCATTGACCAGTTCCCAGTGCAATCAGCAATGACGCTAATCTACAAACCATTTTGAGAGATACACAACCGTACATCCACCTGGTGAGACTGAGCGGTCATCATATCCTCTTTCACTCCTCGTACTTTCGTGCCAAGTACCTACTCCACCGAGAAGGGTGAATGCTGTGCGACCTCAAAGGTAGGCAAGGTTTTTCTCTCAACACCAAGAGATACACACTCTAAAAGTTGACATGAACAGCAGGTCTGGGACAGTGCATAGGATGAGGATACCGTTCAGGTGTACACTTGGATACTGTACCTTTGAACAAACTAAACTCTCCAGATGAGCTTCAGCCGGTGTACACGCTACTAGTGTCTCCCCTCGATAAATAAGATAAACAAGCGGTCAGCTTGCGGTCAGTGCCTCAGCTCCTGGTGGGCAACCCGCACACCCACCATGAATGGATCGACTCGGCGAGTGCGCAGGCAGTAACCGAACATCTGGCATTTGAACATTTGACGAGTCGATCGTCTGGAATGATTCGGACAATACTTCTTCGGCAACGGAACCAGGTCGGTAAGATATCTCACGTTCAAATCGTCACTTGACATTTCTTGGTCTTGGATGGGTACGTGCTGTGATAAGCAAAGCTTCTGGTATACTAGTACACCTGTCAGTCTTCTTCGCCTTTTACGAGTACACACCAACACATACTAAATACCTAGATTAGGTAGATAGTACTGATACGAGATGGTATACGCAAGAGTGACCCGTCGATATAGTATTCCTCGTGTATCACATCATGCGCCCGTCCATGCCGTGCTCCGTGGCCCGTACTCGTAGACTCCGGCCAGACTACGGTCTCCTCGAGCAATGGAAGCACTGTTCTAGGCCTCCTCCGGGGTCTCACTTCTCGACTTTCACGGCATAGTGCCATGGTCATACTATTATACACAAACAAACCAGTGCTCAGCCAGTACCAACCACGGACCACGGAAGACTGACCACTGACCACTGACTCGATCCCTCTCTGATACCTGCAGTCCTACACGAGTTGCAATCTGTTGACTCTGTTCCCATTCCGAACTTCCGATGGATACTCCTACTGACTCACCTCCGTCACGCCATCCATCTGCAACATTCTTCCCTGCCTTCCGGCAAAGGGCCAGACCGCTCCACACCGAGTGAGCTCCTCGAGCTCAGATCAAGGAGGATCCAATACACAACCAAACGCGACTAGCACCAGTCGGCTACAGGTTCGATCCATCCCGAGCGGCCCCTTCCAGCGACGGGTCACTAGCCGTCGAGGATGCGAGTCTCTCTACTGGTGCGCTTGGGAGCGAGTCGGGGCCAATCAGTGCGTGTTCTGCGAGCAGACTGTGCTCGTCACATCGCGACAGGTGGTGTGGATGGGGATGTGGATGTGGATATGGATATGGATATGGATATGGATGTGGACGTGCGACTGTGGACGTGGATGTGGATCTGGTGGTGGTGCGGCCCATCCGACCGGCTTTTCCAGAGACAGGTCGACCTGGATAGACACTTCTACAAATAGGCATTGTTCTTCTTGACATGATGGTGATGGCACTCCGTTGTTCGCAAGGTCTTCTCCCTTCTAGACTGTACATTCCATGTCAATCAATACCTATACCTGCTACTGCGACTGTCTCCTATGCAAGCTACAGACGTGCGTACTGCGTAGTATCTCCTCGACACGGATCAGATGGGAGGATCTTCGGATAAAGGTAAGGAATACGACACACGTGGCAGGGATGATGGTCCTACCATGCGTCTTCAACCCAATTAGCGAGAATGGACACGATGCGGGTAGCGAGAGAACGTCTTCGAAGCGGAGCCGCAGGCACAGGTGCATCATTCTGTCGGATCTGATCCTGTTTATTTGAACTATCTTTCATAAGGTGTTCTAGAGAAAGGCCAAAAAATAATAGTGAGCAAAAAGATTGTATCTCAGGTTTATAGTAGGAATAGCCGAACGCGGGGGTCGAACCCGCAACCTTGAGATTAAGAGTCTCACGCTCTACCGATTGAGCTAGCCCGGCAGGGCTGGTTGCAAGGGGACGGCAATTTTTGTAGTATGAAGAGATTTGTGTTGGTGCCCAGATTCAGCCCTCGTAGTTGAATAAGAGGTTTGACGCATGCTCCATGTCAAGCTTCAACGCCCTCGGTCACGGGAGCCATGGTCGGCGAATTCAGCTACACTCTTTGCTCCTTGCTTGAAAATAATTGGCGAGCTGCAAGCTTCCAACCTTGAGGTAGCCCGATACGGAGTTGAGCTTGGAAGTTTGTGGTCATTTTCGTCCGTACCTACGCCATCCCGAGGCTCGGGTGGGATATATCATCGACTCGGGCGGAGATATAGAACGACGGCGAGAGTGAACCCACCACTACGGTCACACACTATCAAGGTATGTCTTGAAAACGGCCGCTGCAAGCTGATTTAAAACACATTCAAGATCGAAACGACATTACTCAGTCAGGCTCATGGAGTGTCCAGCGCCACCCAAATGCCCAAGTGGCAAGCCTCGATTGAACTGCACAGTGGTAGCTATGCTGTTGTGCTACCTCACCAAAACATGATGGATGAGTATGACTGCACCCAGGCAGGAACTTCAGGCAAACATCCAGCTCTTGCCTGACATTTCGAACAGCCTAGCCGGTTGCACAGCCCACGTGATTCACGCACGGACCATCTCGCTTAAACTTCATTCCGGCGACGGCAGCCTTCTGCTATAAAACCTTTTCCCAACCATCTTCCTCTACTCCATCATCCGCACCCGGCGGGCTATCGACTCATTCATAGCAGCGAGGCTCTATCCGTGATTCTAATGATGTTTCACACCCTTTTGTAAATTCTGAACTTTCAAAATCATGTCCCCCGAACAAATTGCTGGACCTTCCCAGTTGCAGCCGGACCTGCATGAGGATCAACTCCAGGCCGTGGGCAAAGCATTCGATGCCCTGCTACTAACCCTATACCGACTCACCCACAGGCACAATGACCTCAAACAATACACACAGGAAGCCTTCAAACAGGTAAATACTCCCTCCCATGCCTCCAGTTGCATCACGATCAGCGCCTTCCCCCCCCCTTTGCCGCATGGCTTTTTTTTCTTGTTTTCGTTCCTCCCCCAATGTCTCGCATGATGAGAGAATTTGATTAGCTCTAGATCAGGAGTCACTTTATTGTGACGTTGACGGATTAAACATGTATTATCTGATCGAGACATTGTGCCATCATCCTTTCTATGACCACAATTTTGCCCTCACATGGTTCTGTTTCGACTGGAAACACAATATGCTAACGTGAGATCAAACAGTATACGAATGTGACGCGATCACTGCCGGCCCAGGATAGACCTCGTGCAATGGAAATACAGCAAAGATTGTTGGATCAACAGAAAGAGTTATGTGAGGGCCTCGTACAAAGCAAGCCAGCCGTCGAAGAACAGTCGTTGAATTCAATGGAAATTATGAAGACGCTCGTGTCACACCAAAATGTAGATGAAAACTCTATGCGAGCCATCGTGGATGGAATAAGGGGTTACAAGTCTCTTCTTCGCTCCGATGGTCGGTCTCCCATCTCCGCTGCCACCTCGTGTCTCCTCACCCGTGGGACCGACCCTGCGGGATCCCGGGAACATGACTTCACCACCAACGGCCCTCAAGGCAGTCTTCACTGTCCCTTTTCCAAACCCACCACCCCTCGCCCCGGCAGCGACATGGCTTCTGGACGTCGAGACGATGGACCTAAGATTTTGATTGAAGATACCTGCGGACACGATGATCTGGACCCGATCCAGGCCGACCAGGAGGAGCGGCGGTCCAGTACTGCGCCCTCCGTGGGCCGGTCCTCACAGGGACACTGTCCCGTATCTCGCTGCCCCATCCGATACCTGGACAAGCATTCCCCCGAAGAGATCGCCGAGTATGTGGAGCGACATAAACACGAAATCCCTCGGAGTCATGCCATCTGCGTGAAGCGATACCAGCGAGATCCGCAGAACATGCGGCAACTGGACGCCAAGTACGGGGGCCTGATCAACATGATCCGTGGCCTCAGTGCGAAGCATCAAGCTTTCCTCCCGGAACGCGAGGCCAACGAGGACGGGGAGGTGGACGAACAGTCGGGCCATTCCTCCTCGTCAGAGCGAGTCGAGAGATGGGCGGAGGAGGTAGACCCCGTGACTCCCATGCCTCCCACGCAACCGGCCGACGAGCGCGAAAGTCGGTTCGATCGTCCGCTTCGAGAAGTACGCGTGGGCGAATCTCCAAGCCGGCCTTGGGGGATTCCTGTTCCTATCGCAGAACAGCCACCCGCCACCTCGTCCTACCCTTTCCCTCCATCTTCCAACGCCCCAACACCACCCGAACCAACCACGGCGGCACCCTCCATCTCGTCACCACACAAACCACCCGCCAAACCCGCCGGTCGTTGTCCGTTCGGCCATGATGCACCAAAGCAGAAGCCAGTCGCTAGTCCTCCTGCCCCGGCCCCGGCCCCAGCACCGGCTCCGGCTTCCGCTCCTCCCCCAGCCCCAGCGGCCCATCTTGAATCACCCTGGTCCAACTGGGGAAACGCTGATCTCACCAACACAGGCCAGGCGACCCCTGGTCAGGGGGGAACATCTCGGATCGAGAATGGGCCTGTTCGGATTGATGGCCAGTCTCCTCTTCCTTCCCACGTCACCTTTAACGGACCGGTGTTCTTTGGCTACTCTGCCGAGCAGACTGCCAGCCTATTGCAACAGCTTGCGCAACTGAACAAGGGCCCGTCTCAGGGCTGAGATGTGCCTCGGGTGTCTGAGCCTAAGCCGGCCAACTGGATTGCCCTCTCGTCTCTGTTCCCCGAAGCGTTGCAACGGTGTATCTCTTCTGTATGGTCTCCGCATGAGCCTCTTCATCAGGCATGCTTTGTCGTTCCTTGCCGCATAGCGAGCGCTGTACCTTTTCCCATTTTCCTTTCCTATTTCCCCCTCCCTCATGACGAAACGACATTGCTCTCATACCTCATCCTCGTGTATTGCGCCCTTGGACCGTTTGAATTGCAAATTGGACCGTATTCTACACAATTGCACGCGATCGACCAGATCTTCCGGCTGCCAATGCAATGAACCTCTTGAGCCATCCTCCTCTTTGTAACCGTCCACTAGTAGTGTTTGCCCCAAGATCCCCCATGTCACCTGAAAGTCTCCCCGCATAATGCCATTACCCGACGCTTTCCGCATCCTCATTTCCCTCGGGAAACTCCGTTGAGTTAGTGGGAGCCTAACCCACCTGCATATACTAGTAGTTCTGTACTACAGTACTCACTCCTAACTACTCACAGGAGCAATGAGTAAACACCCTCTACGTTCAAGTCCAGAGGATGTATACTCCGGTCAGCCAGACACTCCAAGTCCAGCCAGTACAACCCAGTAGTATCAGTAGTCGTCCTCCAGCAAGCCCCGACCACACAACAAAAACCCACCAAAGAAGCACCACCCCGGTAAACCACCGGAAATGTCAATGTCAACGGTAATCGTCAACGTTCAAACCCCCCCCCCCCCCCGGGCCGGGGCCGGGGACTGGCGGCGTCACTCCGACTCCGACTCCCCCCACCTCGACCTTTTTAACTATCAGCCCTCCTCCTCCGCCCCAACTTCTCCCCGCTATGCTTCGATCTCTTTCTCGACTTTCTGGTCTTTGTAGTTCTACATCCACTCGCACTTTTCCTCGTCGATCCCGATCCGCTGGTCCAGGTCTCATTTCTAGGTCTGGTTCTTTTCCTTTGCTCTTGCACACGTCAGGTTTGAATCGAACTCGATCGACAATGTCTGCTCATATGTCTGCTGTTACGGCCAAGGATGCCTGCCCTCGTATGTTGAGTTTCCTTCTCTCTCTCTCTCTCTCCGTCATGAGTCAAGCTATCTCCAGACACTGCCGCGTTATCCATGGGTTTGATTCATCGGTCGCGGCGATATGCCCTGGGCGTTGATGCATTGGCTGCATGAACGAGGAATGAGCACCATGAACTATGACGAGGTAAATCATAATGCTAACCAGATGGTTATTTTCAACCTCCTAGCTGCCGGTCCTTACGTACGTTCTTCTTCCCCCGCTCCTCCACATCAACTCTCCCACCCGAAAGCTACACAAACAGCTACAAGCTATACAAACCATCCCAAGCCCTCCAGAAACATCAGACCCCCTCCCAAACACCAAAAACACCCCCGAACTAACCCCCCTCTCCCCCGCCGCACCACAGTCCCAAGCTATCCGCGCCAACGGCCAAATCTTCGTCTCGGGCCAAATCCCCGCGGACTCGACGGGCGCCCTGGTCCAAGGCACCATCGGTGAATTGACCCAAGCGTGCTGCAACAACATCGATGCGATCCTCAAGGCCGCCGGGTCGGAGGTGTCCAAGATCGTCAAGGTCAATGTGTTTCTGACGGACATGGCCAATTTCGCCGAGATGAATGCGACGTATGAGAAGTTCTTTGTGCATAAGCCGGCGAGGAGCTGTGTCGCGGTGCATCAGTTGCCGAAGGGGGTTTTGGTCGAGATTGAGTGTATTGCGTTGGAGTAGGGGATGTCGGTTCTGTTTGGGTTGTGTCTGGAGCAAATGGGCGAGAGGAGGGAGTGGGAAATGCTCGGGATATGCTAGTGAGAATGAATTTGGATTTGTGCTGGTTTCAATGATTTGTTTGGACGGGAATGAGTCGATGAGAATGGGGGATGGGGAAAACAAGGGGATGAGAATCCCGTGCTGAGTTGTAGTAGGAAGCTGATCCTTGATACTGCACGCTTGAGGGAATCTTGTCTACAGAATTACAGATCAATGGAGCTTTCTTGTACTTCAGATTCACGATTGAAAATACTGTACTCGTGTGATCATCACGTGGCTTGAAACATCTCATCTCTATCTATTGTGGGAAAATGGCATCGAAAAAACGTGGGAACTATACTATTTACTATATACTATATAGTCTATACAGTCCATGGCTTGAAGGAGGACGGCTCCCCCCCCCCCCCCCCCCCCAAAAAACCCCCAGGCCCCAACACTGAAACCCTTCTCACCTCGCATATCTCCAGATTCAAGAAAACCCCCAGAAAGATCCCCAAGCTTAAATGATATGTACATTAGTAATCGGCACACCTCGTGAACGCATACTATACCGCCTCCGAATGCCCACCCCCGAAGCAACCTGCAATAAAGCATACGTCTCCTCGCCCCCGCCCACCATCACCATACTCAGCATATTGCTTCGTGGAATCCCACTGGCCGTCATCTGTGTCTCGTCGAGGTGGGGACGGATCAAAGCGCTTTCGGCACGTTGGGCAGCGAGAGAGACCAAGGGGATGGACTGCGGATTCGAGCTTGAGTGTTCGGCCCCGTCTGCATCTGCAGCGCTGGACGCATCCGAAGCGGAGCGTGGGATGTCCGAGGTTGCAGTTTCGGTCTCGTCATAGGAGACAATGACGACTAGTTTGAGAGACGAGCGGCCCGGTCGAAAGGCGGCAATGTTGCGCATCTTCTGGGAAAACGTGCAGCCACCGCGCTTGATGACGAGGACTTCGTGGGTTTGGGCCGTGTCGCGGAGGATGCGATCCGAGCACAAGTCCCCTGCAAAATAGATGGTTGACCAGGTCAATCGGGCAGTGGAGGGGATGCCGCGAGGGGAGAGGGTCATGGCATCTTCGACTTCCGGGAGTGGTGCGGCGCCGATGCCCGTGGGAATGCTCGCTGGGAGACTCAGCCTGAGTGGAGCCACCTCGTCGGAATCATCTCGGATCAGACTGGAAACGGTGTTTAACAGGCTGGACAGAATCGTCTTCATTGGGGAATCGGGGGCGTGGACGGCTCCGCTTCCACTCGCATCTGCGGCAGCTGCGGCTCGACCGCGTGGAATGTGCTTGTTCGCCGCCGCTGCTGCTGCTGCTGCTGCTGACGCTGCTGGATGTTCTGATGTAGGCTCGCTAGATCCCGGAGCAGTTGAGCCATTGCGACGGCGAGAGGGGTCTGCGAGAACGTCAATCACGAGATCAAGCATGGCGGTGTCGCGGACCCGGGTGAAATTCGGATCGTACGGGTCAACGACGTCAAAGGTGATCTGGCGAGAGATGTATACCTTCTCATCCTTGCCGAGTGGGACGTTATTGATGACTTGCACGCGGTATCCGTCTTCGAGTTCGGAGGCCTTGGTTGCCCCGAGGAGAGGGACGTCTTGGATCATGCTCAGTCGAAGACCCCCGATGGATTTCACAAAGACCCCGTCACGGACACGCTCCAGAGCATTGGAGCCCAGATTGACGCCTCCGGGTAAGGAGGGGAATGAAATGTCCATTGTTGGACGTAAGGCCATCGGTGCGCTGGTGCCATTAAACGGGACGAGTTGAGGTGGTAGAGTCCAAGGGTAGAATGTGTAATTCGTAGGCGATGACAGGTCTGAGACTGATACACTTGGGTGGTCTGGCGAATGCTGTAGAATGGGACCCTCGCCTGCACCCAGTTGGGGTCGAAGATGTAGTCGTGCCAAGCTGGCTGCATGGAAGATATCTGAGCGCGAAGCCGTCAATGACACCCCAAAGGTCGAGGACAGTACAGGCGCCTGACAGAAATTGATGGCTACGTTAGGTGACCCTGCCACCTGCCGCTCCTTACCAGCCGCGCGACTCTGTCCACGCCTGGGCCCAGATGATGCCCTTTGAGGAATGACCAGAGGATGACCCTCGGTCGTAAAGACCCACGGCGCATCGAGCTTGTTGAGCGGATGATCTGGTGAGAATAGCAAGAACATGTACTTGGCAGTCTCGCCAAGGAAGAAGCTTTCCATCCGGTCCATCATTTCGCCCGTCTTGACATCTCTCAACCCAGCCCAGCCACATTTCGTCCAACATCGCCGCTTGAGATCCCGCAGTACCATCTCGCCCACATGCAGATACCAGGGATCTTGCGTCGCCCGATAGATATAGTATGTCGACTCGATGAACTCAGGGCGTCCGCCATACCAGCTCAGTCCGCCCTCGATGTCGCCTGTGGCCACGTTCCAACGCTCGGGAAGAGCCGAGTATCGTGTCCAGACAGCCGTGGTCAAGAGGTGAATCTGAATCGCTTCGTCGATCTTGCCGTCCAACGCCAAGAGTCCCGGGTAGTAAGCACTCAAGCTATCAATCCAGAAGGCTCGGGTTGCGCCGGTCGAGACATCACCAACGATGAGATGCGGGTGCTGGTACCCCTCTCCGCGATACAGATGGCGATTGATTGCGTTGTGCGAATCCTCCCAGACCTGCAGAAAAGCATCCGCGGAGTGCTCCTCGTCACTCAGAGGCAGATAGTAATCATCCAAAATGGCCCACGGATTCTTCGGGTCAAATGCCGGCCGTTCTCCTTGAGACAAGAGAACATGAGATTTGAAAGCATACTCGAAGAAGCTGTCAATGCCGGCGCCAATCTGAGCAAATTGATGACCTGTTAGCTTTCCCCCGTCGTGTCGCGTGGGTCTTTTAGGAGTATACTACTACTCACCCCGGAATACGGTCCCACCCACTTGCCTGACTCCGCATCAATCCCGAATCCTATAAGACCAATCTCGCTGCGATGTGACCAGACGGCCCAGAATGCTCTTTTGGCCAATTCCTCATATCGACCGTCTCCCGTCAATCGACTAAGGACAGTAAACTCCAGTACCAAGCTTCCCGCGCCAGCACTGCAAGTTTCCGTAATGTCCTCCTCGGCCTTCATGTACGCGTACTTTGGTGACTGATCCTGGTCGCGTTTGGTCTTTGTATTCAACGGCGAGTTTCCATAGAAAGGAATCCCGTGTCGCAAATTGACCCGCGGGTAAGGGAGTCCAGTACCGGTATAGAACGCAGGCAAAAGACGATGCGTCAGATCGACCGCCAGTCGAAGAAATTGACCGTCATAGACAAAGCCATTATCCCAAACAATGCCATGGTGATCCTCTGAGAATTGGCTTTTGTCCCAGGCACTTGCATAAGCAGCCTCCTCATCCGTCGGTTCGTATCCACTGATGGGCAACTCCCCAATTGCAAAAAGATGGGAACTGAGTAATCCGCCTAGATGGGAAACAAAGACCCGAGTGTTAGTGAGACATTCAAAACAAGATCATGACCGCTCAGATATGCGCATAGACCACAAGGAGACACACACCCAAGCCACGAATCACAGTCTCAAAGACCTGCACCTTGCTATCGATATCAAATCCTCTAGCCCGCTCGCCCTGACCAGCAGGACCGCTCGAGCCATCTCCGTATAATCTCACAAACTCCTTCACTCCATCCTGAAAACTTGCCAGGGCACGATCGCCGCTCTCGGGACTCGACGAGAGGATCGCCAAGGTGGACAAGCTGTCAACTAGAGTCAGGGTATAGTTTCCGAGGACATCGTTTTGCTCGGCGTTCTTGTCATCGCGCGTCAAGGGGCCGCAGGTCAACGGACGGAGTTCGTCTTCGGGAAAGGCATGCTCGAGATAATTCTCATATCCATGATAAAACATGCGCTCGGTCTCTTGCCTGGAAACATGGGAAAGAAAAGGATAGAAGTGTCAGCACCTGATGCAAAGATTCCCAAAGCGTGAGGTGCCGTATTCCCCACGTATGCTGCATATCCCAACGCGAGTCCTCAATAGCAGACGAAAGCCGCACACCCAAAAACTCACCTCAGCTCCTTGATCTGATCGCCGCGCATACCATGCACCAGCGTCAAACATAGTGACCAGAGAACTACATAGACCAACATGATCCACGCGCGACGGGGGTGGAACATGTGCAAGTTCCGACATCGCGTGCGCATCACCAGTGCGGAGTGCCGCCGGAGATCATGGACGGGCGGGTCAACTTGTTGTGCCTGTCCGGACGGAACCACGGGTCGACTGAAAGAGCACCGGATCCGGGAAAGCAGAGGGAAATCGAGGTGTCCTAGGAAATGAAAGGAGATGAGAACTCGTCAAAGGCGCGAGACCTGACCTTCCACTCGATAGATGCTGCCAGATAAGCCATTTCGGATAACCTTTTTTTTTCACGCATCGCGGTTCAACCATCTCCACCGCAGTGGATATTCCCTTTTTGGCAATGGATTTGTACATCATGTCTTGGCGTCTAGTTGGACCTCTGAGCTTGGCATCGATCTATGAGATGTTCTGTTGATCTCGCGGCAATTGAAGATATCGGTCACCGATTTCTGCTTCTCGACCCCGAATAATTCATTTGAGATTTTTGGACCCGGTGAAATATACATTTTCATGTCTTCCTTAATTCACGCTCCAATGGGCTGTACTCCGCAACTTGAATTCTTGTGCACAACTTCGGCTGGAGAAGCGCTCGTCGAATGAGTGTGTCAACGATTTGACTACCAGTCAATCAGGCGCAAAGGAATGAAGATTATCTAGGTAGCATGGCAAGTATACTGGGTGATATTTGGGACACAAAAGCTACCTAACATTTGCATCCCATATCAAACCCTGCCATGCAGCCAAATCACAAGAGTGCCGACTGGGCTTGCACCCAACCAACCACACCTCTTGATGATTATTGTGCTTTTGAGGAAGGTAAAGACGAGATCCTTGCAATTTCGTGTAAGAATTAATATAGGTGCTTACACTGTCAAAGCTATTGCAGGGGTGAAAAGAAGGTAGTCATTGCTCCGCCCCGACGATGAATCTGGTCTTAGTACCTCACGACTTTCTCCCCCCCACAGTGCTGAGAATCCAGAGTTCTTGCAAGAAAGATCTAGAGGAGACATCACGGAGAATATCAAGCTCGTCATGAGTATCTCTCAAGTGTGAATGTTCTCTTGTGTCGCACATTAATCTCGCCACAAGGATCGTCAAGTCGAGAGAGCTTTTTGGAGGTATAACTTCGATCTTTCTCCGAGTATTGAATGAGTCGACCTATTTGCTACCGTGCAACGTGGTGGCCGCATGGCTTCCCCATGGGCCAGATTTCAGGGCTAGATTGAGCGTTGAGCACTAGGAGTTGGTCGTGAATGTTAAGGGTGAAGAATGAAGGGTCAGATGCCATGAGCCATCGGCCTTTGACGTGCTCTTAGACTGACAGATCCACAGCTTTGCACATAGTGAAGCATCAAGACAGGCGCAATTGATCGGGTTTTGGAAAGAAAAGTTGTGAAAGAAGATGAAGGGGGTAGACTTCAAGACAGAGAAAATCTTAAATACCAGGCAGTCTTGGAGTGATGGTGAGGGCACCTGAACAACGGCTGACCTCGTCCACGGAAGCTCTTCTATGAATCAAGAAACTCGATTCCAGAGTCAACACATGCGCAGTTTGAATCTTGTACTTGTCTCGTTGTAAATTGAGCGACGCCCGAAAATAGCTAGAATATCGCTTGCGGCAAGACATATGACCTTGAGATCAAACATCAAATCAAGGTCTTTGTCGATTCTATCTCCGAAAGACGTGACTTGTTCACCACATCCGCAATTTATATGACAAAGGCCCAGCAAATATGTGACTCTTCCTTCGAGGATTAAACACTAGTAACGCAGTCTCGAAGGCATTCTAGCGACTTTGACGCCTGTCAGGTTGGCCGCTTCATGCAGACGTGTGATAGTCATGCTTTTCGAGTGTGCGACAGGCAGTCTTTTCCATCAGCCCGCTTGGAACAAGCCGTGTTGAAGGCAGGCATATGTGATCAGGTTGAAGTTCAAGACGAGTCTGTTAATGCCGCCGCTGAAGGTTCACACTTTGTACCTTGCTCGCGAATGCCGATTAAACCTTTTAAGCCTCGTGAAACTTCTCGGAGCATTCGAAAAATAACAAAAGTCCATGGCAAAAATGGTCCATCGCCCATTCACTCAATGAATTTGACTCACGACAATCGATTCAGGAGTTTACACTTTCAAGGCCGACCTGATTTCCTTTCCCCACAGCGGCAAGCCATTTCAAGGCCCGGGTCTCGATGGGAGCTGTCGAGGAATGACATTACGAGACTTGAAGACTTTGCTTCATGCTCACTACTCGCGAATCAACTGGTGACATGAAACTTCTATTACTTGGCCTGTCCCGAAAGTCGCCCTCGAATTTGGCAGTATCATGTCGCCATCCCTCGGAGTGCATCATACTTCAAGATCACTCCGGGCCTACGAGGACACAGACGATGTGACAAAGAGTTTGAACCATGATGAATAATTTCGCAAACATGAATGTGCCCATCGCGATAAGTATACTTCGCGGCCGCAGGCCGTTATAATTCCATCCTCTTCCTCATCCATTCCGCGAATTGTCGCGACATCCATGCAGCACACAACAACCTGGGACATCTGCTAATAGTTCTCACATACAGTTAAAGCCTCGGGTGACCCGAATCGTCAGACCTGAGCTTGTTCCGTGGAGACGCTCGCGGAGTTGTGAACCCAGCGCCCGAAGATCTCGCGTCTCTGATGGGTGCGCCGGACGGCGTCGATGAACAGGACGGGCTATTCGCATGTCAATCAAGGCTTCACGTCAATGGTACCGTGATGAGAAAAGGCATATCTCAACTTACAGTTCGAATTCCTGTTTCCAGACACGTCAAAGCAGTGGTGCCAGCGAGAGTGAGAATCGGCAAGAAGTGAAACCTCTTCAGAGACTGCGTCACCAGCACGCCGTTCGCTTCATCTGAGATCACAATAAAATCGGGCACTATAGCTCGACCATAGAAGTTTTCTCGCCAGCAATAGTACACGGTCCAGGCAGCCCAGTGAAAGAAGCCGAGAAGAGCAGTGAGGCCCATGAGAGATATCATTGTAACCATGAGCACAAACGCGGCAGGCCAATGCTGGTAGGGCTTCATAATTATCGAGACTATCGAGCGCGTTAGATGTCTGATGGTTGACGAATATCACGGATGACTTGGCAAGCTGACAGAGAAATAAATGGAGTACGCATAGGCCTGCCAGAACGAGGCTCAAGGCTGCCTCTCCCTTCGACATGCAGACTTTCGGCTCATGATTGTGAGCATACTTGTAGCCGATGGCTATCATTGCGAATGTGATTAAGTTCGCAAGAACGTACAAAGGGTAGAATTGAGAGGAGAATTGCGCACAATGACCGACGTTTTCGGCGACGCAATGGAGCGGCAGAATATGAGGTAAAGCGAAGAAAGGAGATGAGCCATAGTTCTCGTGAAGTTCGTCAGGTTTCAACCAGAGCTCTTTCCTGCTTGGCACCCTTACCGGGTTCCATTTATGGGGGTGGAAACTACATGTCTGGAGCACACGCCGCGGAACAAGACAGAAGCAGGAAGGTGCGAGTGGACGCTGTTCTTGGCTCTGTAGTTGCAGCATCTGTATTATGCAATTCAAATATAGTACAAATGACAAACGACGTGATGCCTCCTCAACAAGGATTGCCGTCTGTGGAGGTCCTGACAGTTTCCCAGAAGTGCTGCGAAGAGTAATGATGCCAGTCTCATCTGGAAATTGTGATAATATTGATCAATTAAACGCCCGCTTATCCATTTTCATGATATCTTCGAATGCTTGCACATCATTTACCAAGTTCGCCGAGCATGAGATTGCGATCCGAGGAACACGAGACAACTGCCACGGATCGTTAGTATGGCGGATCTCGAGAATCAATAATAGAGAGAGAGAGAGCACTCACTGATAGGTTCGTCGTTGGGCGAGAAGCGGACATCATTAACCGTACCCTTGTGACCGGGTAATTTGTAAAGCAGTTTGCCCGAGTTGGCGTCCCAAACCACAACACTTCGGTCACCGCTGCCCGCCGCAATCTTTCCACCCTTGGGATCCCAGCTTGCACGGATCAGATTCTTCTCAATGCCAACTGGGGCACCATCAAATGTCCTGATCATTCGGTTTGTAGGCGCAAAGGGTCGGATATCCCAGGTCCGCACCGTAGAGTCGTGAGAATTAGAAAGCAGAGATTGTGAGTCTGGCGAGATTTCCAGAGAGGTGATGGTGTCGGTATGCCCAGCCATGGAATACACAACAGCCTTTTTGCGCAAATCCCAGACATGGATTGTGTTGTCAATTCCGCCACTGTAGATTTCGTTTCCAGCTTCGGACAGTGCAACTGCTGTGATGGGTAGCTCGGTTTCGAGGTATTCGAGAGCGTCCTTTTGCCGAGGGTCCCAAATCCCAATGCAGCCATCATCACTGCCACTGACAAGCAGCTCTTGGCCGCGCTTGCTTATATCCAGGCTGTTGATGATCTCCTCATGACCCACGTGTCGGCGCACACGAGTTCCAGTTTCCACGTCCCAGCTCCCCAAAGTCATGTCGGCAGAGACAGAGAATATTGCCCGTGAATCACGAGCCCATTGAAGATCGAGAACGGCTCCCTTGTGACCCGTCAGTTGGCCGTAGTTGTCGCATTGTCCGTATGTGTTCCAAAGTACTGCACTACGTTAATGGGGTCCGTGTATGGGATTCGAATGATTGATTGAGGGGACGTACGAATAGAACGGTCCATCGAGCCGGATGCGATATGTTGAGCTGTCGGATTGAAGCGTGCAGTGAAAACTTCACCAGAGTGCCCTGTAGTCCTCCTTTCATAAGTCAACTGCTTCCTCGATATCTCGGACTGAAGTCATCCTACCTGTAAGTTCCATGATCGGCGCCTCGAGGCCACTCGTTCGAGGAATCTGAATGAACCGGGTCAGCAAATGTCTATAGATTGTCACCCATGATCATGGCAGGGCCTCTCAACGCATAGAAGAGTGTCAACCGAGATCATTGTGTGTGCGACCTACCGATTGAACGAGTGTGCCATTTTGCGACGAGCTCTTCACAACCGCGTTCCCAGGGTGAAGGTCGGCATCAGACTTCTTTCGCTTGACCACGAGCTGGCTTGAGTGCGCAAACCCCTCGGGGGCAGGACGTTTCTCTCCGGACATTGTCGGTATACTAGTTTCTCCAAAATCAACGGTAGGCGGAGAGAAAAGGTGAATGAGGGTCTCCCACAGGTTATCGCGGATTGACGCTAGTAGTAATCTTGGGGGAGACGCAAAGATTCACTGCCGCAGTGCGGAGCGGTTAGGAAGAACGATGATCCCACATGTGGTGGGCGGTCAACTCCAATTGTGTACCGCAACAGCTCCATCATCTTGAACTCCCCGCAATCAACACAGGCATTTAAGTCCGAGGGCAATTTAAGCTGCTCTAGAAGAAAGATAGGTGGTGAAAAACACTGTATCCGAGGCATCAGCTCCCCCCTTATCTACGGTCACACCATCCGCAGCAATGTCATCTTCTAAAGCCTCGAGAATAGGAGAGGAGTAGGTCCAGCCCTTGTCTTTCATCGTGTCGTGGGTCTTACGCTGACATGTAAATTGTTTCTAGAATCTGGAAGTCAGTAAGCCTTGTGTCTAGTCCAGAGACATGACTTCCAAACTCCATCATGCCTTTGCATCTGTATGAAATTGACCGCTCGATCGCCTTTCACAGAACGAGAATTGACAAAGTCAACGCCGAATTAGTCACATTAACATACGGCACGATTGTCGCGCAACTATGTCAAGACTACGACAGCGACTACCAGGAAGTCAATAAGCAGTTGGATAAAATGGGTTACAACATCGGCATGCGATTAATCGAGGACTTCTTGGCCAAGTCGGGGGTCGGACGATGTGCGAATTTCCGTGAGACAGCCGACATGATTGCCAAGGTACGCGCAAGCTCACCCCTCTGATTGATGCGATATGGCCTCAAAATGAGGAACAGCAGGAGTGCATTTCTTTTTGTCTTAACACAACTGACCTTTTTCACCCTCGTATCAGGTTGGCTTCAAAATCTTCTTGAACGTCGCTCCTACTGTCACGAATTGGACTAGCGACAACAACCAGTTCTCCCTCATCTTCGATGAAAATCCGCTCGCCGACTTTGTCGAACTTCCGGACGATGGACGGGCTCAGGATGAGCTATGGTTCTCGAATATTCTTTGTGGTGTGCTTCGAGGTGCGCTAGAAATGGTAAGTCAAGTCTCTTTGGAATTGGGATGACTGGCCGTGGGTCATTGACGGGGCTTCCCCGATCACCTTTTCCCAAACCCTTGTTCCTGGGTTCGATCGTTGACCCGATTTCCAGGTTCAAATGCAGATCGAGGCGCATTTTGTCAGCGACATACTTCGGGGTGATGACACGACAGAAATGCGCGTGTCCTTGGTACGATACATCGAAGATGAGATGCCTCCGGAGGAAGAGTGATAGAGCATAATTATCTACGGCGTTTTTTTTTGATTCGGTTCATGGTAGGCTTACCTGGAATTTGTGGAAATTCGATTATGACGACTCTTTTCTTCCTTTTGGAGATGTATTAATTTCAGGACCGGGTTGAGGTTTATTTTCCCCCCGAGAGTCTTTTGGCGTTTACGGACCCCCCTCGACGACTTGAATTGAACGTAATCGCGCGCTCGGCTGGCATGACAGGCTGCGTGTCTACCTCGCTTACAGCCTGCAGCGATAGGGTTTCTGATCTGTCATTCTGTAGGTAGGAATCAGGAACCAGTCCACCTGACCTGCGTACTCAATATTTCCCGGTAATTTGATTTGCAGTAAAGGATTGCCCTGACTCTCAGCAAGGCACACTAGATGCTGGGGAAGAAACAACAATGGCTTGAACGAAAGAGGGCTGGTCACAATTTGGCTTCTAGTAGGTGGACTAGAATGTGCTTTCGAATCGTGTGATCGAAGGATGGGATGTCTGTTGTACACCTGTCATTGTACTTTTAAAGTTTCTACATATCGAACACTGTAACAGCATGCAGTACTGTACGATGGTAAATATACAAATTCTCAATGTACAATTGTACCTAATTACAGGTACTGCTACTACTTCAGCCACGGATCGACAATCAGTTATGCAACGCGTGAAGTTCGGTTGCGGTCGACGGTTTCTGGATTATACCAAGCTGCTGATGGCGGATTCAATAGCTTCATGAAGCTCACGACTTTCCGAAAGGGGCCGAGTGTACATTTCACCAGGTATTTGGCAATGTATGTACTACAGTACTACTATTAGTAGTACTGCTACTTTCCGGTCGTTTGCCAGCCCGTCGGCCATCGACGTCAGGATAGAGTGCGGCGCGCGGTTTCAATACGGTTACTTGAAAACCTCCAAACTGACAAATACCGTCTCCGCCCCGCCATTTTTCCTACACATCGAATTCCCTGCTGGAAGTTTTCCTTCCCACTCATTCTGGGTTTCTTCTCTTCCCATCACCATCTCTGTTGTGAACTTTCCCCTTCGCTGTGATAACTCGACTTTCGCTGGACCGATTAGCTCGATTGTCGATCATCTCAGTATTCGTCTACGCGACTCTCATCGTGCGGGATATCCGAATTGATTAGACTCCCGCTGGGATCCATCGCAGGGCCCATAAGACCAGCCCACCGTACAATCACACTGTAAGTACCAAAGGCGCCGAGTGAGCACCGTTAAGGTACTTCATACACCAGTACCAGCCTACCAGGATACCGTACCAGTGCACTCTCCGCGCTGATTCTGGCCTGATCGACCTGAGCAAAAAAAGCCAGTCCACTTTGATTTCTCATTCTTCATCTTCTTCTGATATCTCTCCACACCTTCAATCATCCTACCTGCTGTGATCATTATTTGGATCTTGGGGACGTCTCTGTTGTATCTGGTCCGAGTCCCTGTTCAGGACTGTATCTCTTATCTGGTTACTCGTTCTGCTCCGTCGCGGTCGCGCATGCCCAGAAATACGCCTGACCGCGCCGTTCCCAGCCCCGAACCCCGGTCAAGTTGATCCGCTCCGAACAAGCGATTCTCCCGCAGTGAGCGCAGCGCCTGTCGCCGTGCCCCCCAGGCTTGCTCCTCCTCCCCTTCAACCGTGAGATCCACCTTGATCGACCACCCCTGGTATATAGCCTTTTCCTTCTGAACCCTTCATCTTCTGCCCTCTATTGCATGTGAAACTTTGACCCCGTTGCGAGACGTTGTCCGACCGGGCTTGCCTGGAATTCCCGACCTCATCCCAACCTCCTCACCCGTGGGCTTTTTCCGCCTCCTTGTACCTTCGTCATCGCCTAAACCCTATCGCATCGCGCACCGCTTCCTCCTGCCACCTTTCTATGACCCAAGCATTCTTCTAACAATTGATCGATACTATAGCCTCCCCGGCTGCTCGAGTTCTCTTCCTCGTGTCCTTCCGGTCCCCTGGGTCTCGTCCCTCCTGTCGCGTGGCTTGCCTCCCCCCGGAGAAGACCTTGTTAGCCGCCGCAGATACCCCATTTCACCAGCGCACCCGGTGAGAAGATCGATCCGCGAAAACTCGCCCATATCACAAACCGGCGCTCACGCTGGGATTCTTCGGATATTCATACGCCTTTGGGTGCTTCGCTTTCTAGCAAGCTGTCAGACTACAAGTCGGCGTTCGTGTCTCTGATCGGGCTCATTCTACGTTGCCACGCGTCTTGAGATTATTCCCCACCACTCCCACTAGTATTGGGCTTTGTCGCCTGGTTCAGTGGAAGCGCGTTGGCACAGAAACGCGGTGCGTTATCTCGGACTTTGCTTCAGACGCACATAGGCAAGGGTGGCCACAGAACCACCGTTCGCCACCATGAACCAAATGAATCTTGGGATGAATCCCGGAGTTGGAGGGCCAGTTGGTGGTGTTCCGATGATGAATAATGGCTCCACCGCGCCTCGCAACGATGGTGGTATGAACATGAATAACCCCGAAGTCATGATCAACAATCTCAATACCTACATCTACGACTATTTTCTAAAGCGTGGCTACCATGACTGCGCGCGGGCTTTGGTGCAAGATGAATCCATCAAGATCAACACGGACAATGGAACGAAAACCAGCCCAGGAAGTCGTGGTGACATGAACGGCATCGACGGCGACTCCATGATGACCGATGGCAAGGATGGTGAAAAGATCAAGATCCCTGATGATCTGCCTCGGCCTAGCCTGCCCAACGAGAGCCTTCAGTCTTCTTTCTTGCTTGATTGGTTCAGTATCTTCTGGGACTTTTTCTGGGCTCAGCGGAAGCGCGGTAACAGTAACGACGTCCGACAGTACCTCCAGCACACTCAGGTATGTTTTTGTACCAATATGTTGCAGAGTGCTTCGCTTGCAATCTCCTTCCTCTGCGCGGCTCATCATCGGTCTAATCATTTGCCCTTGCCCTATCTAGAATTTGATGCGCATGCGCGAACAACAGCACAACCAGATGATGCGTCAACAGCCCATGATGCCCGGTCAAGTTCCCCTTGGCGTCCGTCGTGCTACTAACGGCATGGTCCCTCCTAACCTGCAGAAGGCGGCTCTGAACAATGGCCTGTATGTTTCTCCAGCACAACACCCCCGCCCCCCCACTGAGTCTATGGCATGGTCAAACTAGGCGAAATTCTGACCTGGGTGTAATGCGCAGAACTCAACAACAAATCGCCCAATTCCAGAAGAACCAACAGCAGATGCAAATGATGCAACAACAGATTCAACGCGAACAGTCCGAGATGGAAATGAACGGAAACCGCCCGCAATCGCCTGCCTCCGCCGATAATGCCCCCTCCCCATCGAAACGCCCACGCCTCGAAGGCAACGCTGTGAACGGTCAGCAATTGGCGCCCACTGGTCGAGGACAGGGACAGATGCAGGGACAGCAAAACCCCCAGCAGCTGATGATGCAGAATGGGATGCAAAGAGCCATGAACCCGGCGCAGTTCCCACAGTTCCAGCAAGGACAAGCTGCGCAACAAAAATCCATGCAGGTATATGCCCAAAACTTGGCTTCTCATCACTCTCGCTCAGCACTGAATTTCCAGGGTCCTATGAATGGTGGTATGATGAATCCCGGTGTGATGCCTAACCAGGCCGATCTGGTGCCTATGCCTGATGGGCAAGGTGGTATGTACCCTATGGGTCCAGAATACTACAACTCAAACGGTCAGCTCCAACAGGTCCGGCCTGGCATGCAAACACCTGGCGGTCAGCATGGGAACCATGCTCTCCAGGATTATCAGATGCAACTTATGCTGCTTGAACAGCAAAACAAGCGCCGCCTGATGATGGCTCGTCAAGAGCAGGATAGCATGTCCCGTGCTGACGGTCAGCCCCCAATGCCCGGCCAGGGATTGCCTCCGGGCACATCTCCTCAGGGCAGCAGGGCGGGTGCGTCCCCGAACCCCAGCGAACAAATGAAACGAGGCACGCCCAAAATGCCTCAGACCGGTCTGCCGGGCTCCCCAAGCGCCGGTGATATGGGCCAGAATCGCGGATCTCCTGGCTCCATGAACCTCAATGGCGGTCAGATGCCGCCCGAAATGGCAGCTGCCGGATTCTTCCCCGGCCCCGGTGGTCAGATGCGCCCCCCGAGCTCCAACCCGGCCTTTACTGGTGCTCAAATGGGCCAGCCCATCCCCGCCAACGCCAATCGTATGCCCAGTGGCCAGTGGCAGCCAGGACAACCTATGCCACAGCATTCGCCGGCAACTCAGCCTCAAGCTGGCACGCCGCAGGACCGCAACAACATGCCTCCACCTCAAGCGCCACCGGCTGGCGCCAATGCGGGCCGTGCCCAACCGCCTTCTCCCCAGACTACTGGTAATGCGCCACCAACCCCCCAACAGTCTACAAAGGCTGCACCTAAGGGCAAAAAGGATGGTGCGAAGGAGACGACTCGCAAGGTACGTACCGAAACCATATCTCATCAACATGGACTCGCTGACATGGACATGCAAACAAATCAGCGTCCTAACAAGAAGAACGCTGCCGCTGCTGCTACTGTCGCAACCCCGTCGACCGAGGCCAATGAGCCTACTCCGACGCCATCCACTCCTGTCACTCCCCATCCTCCTCCCAATTCATTCCCCAAGGGTGGACCCAATGCCACTGCGGGCGCTGCTCCTCAGCAGTCTGCGGCTCCTGTGCCTCCTCCTATGGTTCAACCCTCGCAAGACCCGAACCAGCAAACCTTCAACGACCTCTCAATTCCAGATGTAAGTTGTCATGGCGGATGGGAATCGTTTTGAAGTGACGTGTGCCCCGTTCATGCGAATTTTACTGACATCATCCCCTTCAAACAGACCAACGCTTTCAATCTTGACTTCAGTGCTCTGGATAATCCCGATATACTGGAGAGCTTTGACTTTGACACATTCCTCAACACTGATGGAGACGCAACTGGCTTTGGCTTTGACCCAAGCATGGGCTACTCCGCCGATGGCGTTGAGACTGGGGCTGGTGACACCCTTTGAATGATTTGAAAAGTCTTGACGGTTCTCTTCAGGTGTTTAAACCTCCGATATACCCTTTTTTCTGTACATTTGATCTACCCTGGTTTTCCAACAGTGCGTTCTTCCGCTTACTGTGCTTCCGGACCCGCCTCGTCCATGGCTGTTCTCGAGATTTTTTTTTCCATTATTCTATTTCCAACTCTTACCCTTGGGAACGTTTTCTGCCTAGCTGGGATGTGTGTCGCTTGCGAAGAGATTGGCGTTGGTGTACCCCCCTCTCCCATTTTGTGTCTCTTGCGTGGCTTTACTCTACATAACTCATTCCTTTCGATCCACATGCTTGCTCTTGCCATTCAACGTTTTCATTTTCGCACAAATAATGATCGCATGCCGATATCAACGATGTTGCGAGAGGGTCAGAGGCCAAACAAGCTCTTGCCGATAAAACAGTGCCATTCTGTATCCCAATCTTATCCGCACTTGTGACCTACGAAATCCTTGACTTGCTATCGCCGCTCGCTCATACATTCTCTCTTGCTTTGTTACTTAATTATTTTGCTCGTTTATCTGTCCAACACTGAGGTACCTATTTCTCTCGATTGGCTTACTCGCGAAGGTTTCCTCAGCTTGCCAAACAGAAAACACAATCCACCTGCCAAAACATCTTTCCTCCGAAGTACCGACACCTCTTGTTCACTTCATCAGACGGAGCTGGGTTCTTCTCTACTTTGCCCCCCTCTTTTTTTTATTTCCTTTCCTGTTTGCACCCTGTGATTGTCTTTCCTTTCACCTTTTCCCTTTTTATTTTCTCGCTTTCTTCTTGACCTCTATGACCGGGCGTGATGACATGAAAGTCCATTACCAAGAGTTCTTTCTCCCACACATCGTCTCTAACAATCATCAATTATATGAACGATTTTCACGTCAATCGGATTGTCATGACCATCGCTACGACTGGATGCAAGATGTAAGACCTAGCTATGCATTGACTGCCCGGCCTTGCCCGTAGATGGAACAAATTGTAGTAAGTGGTAGTCAGCTATCTGAACGTGTTTATTTGAGATTATCGCAGCTTCTTCAATCATGCTAGAGGCGGAGGAAGTGATTTACGCAAAAGACGCATGATCTCTTAACAATTCTTCCACATACGCGCATCCCTGTCACTGCTAAATTCCGGCAAACGAATGGATCTGCATCCATGTATATAGCCGGACTTCTTTGAATCTCTATCCGTGCGCAGCCCTCTGCAGCTCATTCTGCATCTCCTCCCGTAGTAACCCGCACTAACCTCTGCAAGGTCCAGATTCACATAATTCTACCCCTACCCTACCTTACAACAATCTCTTCACAAGTCCTCAAGTAAGCCTGAACTTAAGACGCTGATTCCTCACAAATACACCCAAGGATCCTAATCACGACTTCCACACACTAACAGAATAAAGCTCGCTGACCACGTCCAGTCGATTCCGAGTCACAATCAGTATAGCAGTAAGATCATATACTAAATATACATGCTACAGACTCTTGCTTGATCTCTTGGCCCGCAGATCTCCGATGCGTTAGGACAGGAACGGCCTCTCTTGCTCTGATGTTTGTTTCGTTCTTGTTGCTGCATGGGGCCTCCCGTCTCACATTGGGCTAGGGCTTGTCGCTGAGCTTGGGTGTTTTATTAATGTAGGTAACCGGTTCTTCTAGACAAACGTAACGTAGACGGATATGGTCTTTTTGAAAGGGCGGCACGTCTTTTATGGAAAGGGCCTAATGCGTGATTGGTTGCTCATATAGAAAATATTGCGGAATGAACGATATTCGCACTTCCGAGCGGGACGTACGCATTCTTAATGCGAAAATTGAATTCCATATACACATTACTGTGGAACGCTAGTTGTTTGTGACGGTGGTAGAATGATGGTAGTTGCTGATCGGTTGAGTGATGGTGTTTTTGACGGGTTGAAACCCGTCAAAGAAAACCAGCTTCATGCGTGGGGGGTTACGATTCGAGTCTCGAACGAGGTTCTTCTAGTATTTCAACAGAAGTCGTCCTATGAGATCTTCTATGAGTTGGTTGGGCAAGATTACTACGAGTAACGGGGTAAGGGTTAACGAAAATAAGACGAAGAATGAGAATGAACAGAGAAACCTTCATGAGAAAGCGAATAAAGTAAACAGACAGGACCACACAAGATGCTGACACATTCCATAATCATGATAATGTACAGTCATTCGAACTCATTAATCATCATAATCATAATCATAACAACCAGCAGAAAGAGGCATCATAACCAGACAAGTCATCTCACGGACTGATCTAGACAGATGGACGTACAACGCATTTTAATGACGAACGGAAAATGCGTTGGAAAGACCGTCGAAAAACGCGCCAGAAAGACAACTTTAGAAGGTGTTTTACAAATGGTCATGAGAATTGTGCAACGTCAATCCGTCAATGATGGTCTCGCGCTCATCTTCTAGCCTTTTCAGTCTGCTTTTGGAGGTTTCGGCCAACTTCAGCCTCCAAATCTAGCAGGAACTGCAGGCGACCCTGCCAAGCCCGTAGCTCATACGGTGGCACCTTTTCCTTAAAGGTGTCGAGGAGAAGAAGAATGACTCTCTTCACTCCGATTGACTGGGCCATCTCACCATTCACACCGACCGGAAGCGTGCACAGGGTGATGGGGTCCTCTGAGCCAAACAGGGGTGCGTGCTGGAGAAAGTAGGCGCGCACCTTGGTCCCTGTGGACTCGCTCGTCACTTCGAAGCGGGGGCAGTTGATGACGAACTCGCGGCATAGGACTGAATAAATGTTAGCTTGCGCACGTCACAATTTGAAAAAAAAAATGGTTCGACATGCTTGTTCGAGAATGAAGTCACAGAGCATGGTAACAGGGAGTACTCACCATCCATGACCTTTCTATGGGGTACCCCACGCCTTGGGCCCAGAGCCCTAACCTGTTCCTGGACCCGCTCGAGAACCTCCACTGGAGATTCCAGCTTCCCGGGGGCTCTCGGCCCGACGACGCTTGGCAGGTGGCGATCGACCCAGGCTGCGTCGCGAGAGCATCACGTCTGGCCTTGGAGCAACAGGGGAAGCTTTACGCTTCGATGGCACATTGTCATGCACCATGAACAGCTCGCCACGACGCTCGGCCGGCGCTACGTCGGCGGACTGGGAAGGCCGCCACGAGTCAATGAGCTTCTTGGCTTTCCCACCGTCTTTGTCACCACCTTTGCCACTACCTTTACCGGAACTTTTGGCTTTTCGCCGGAGCCTGCCTGTAGGGTTCATCTTTGCAAGCTCCTGGACATGGAGCTTGCTCCAGCCTGCAGCACGCAAAGGAGGGTTATCTGGGCCCGTGGAGACTGCAACATCGGACTTGGTCTCGTGGGCAGTGGAGGCCACAGGACGAGCAGGCTCGGGCAGCTTCAGCAGTCGAGAGGCAGGAGCACGACTAGGCTCGCAAAACGCCAGCCGAGAGTCTGCAGGCAGGATGGCACTCGTGTCAATTCTGTCACTGACCAAGCGCTCGAAGAGGGCTTCATGGGCCGCTCTCTCAACGTCATATGCTGCCCTCTCGGTGCCTCGAGCCACTCTCTCGACTTCGGGCTCAGTTGCCCCAGACAAGAAGACAGACCGGTAGGAGCGGCCAAAGACGAAGAGCTTCTTCTTTCCACAGGCGTACACAAATTTGTCCATGCCTGCCTGGTCAACGAACTCTTGAGAGTAAAGATAAGTCAGTAAGTGAGATTACACAAGTACATTTGACTTCAAAAATCAGGGAGGAGGATACAAGAGTCTCAAGACATACCTTGAAGAAGCTTCTTCCACTTCCAGCGAGATTCGCCGAGCTTCTGCGAGGTTTCTGGTGGGAAATGCGAAGGCTTAGGGGGAACGAGCCAATTGGGGTTCTCCCCCGCAAGTGCCTTCAGAGCCAGTCGATAGGCTTCCACTGCTGCCTCATATGCAGACTCACGATGGCCAGAGTAGACTGTGTGGCCCCAGAGCTGCAAGCGTGCCCAGATCTGCCGACAATCTGAGGACGTGTACTTGAGCGTGAGCCGTGCCGACAGACGACCGGCCAGGCAGAAGATGTTGAAAATAAACAGGACAGCCTTGTCAGGCAAGCTGTCCACGTCGAGGGCACCGAGTGTGAGCTATACAAATTTTTGTTTCAGTGTTAGTGGTGTGCGAGGAACCTGATGACTGGGTGTATTCCTTACCTGGCCCTGATAATCCAAACTCGGATCGTTCACGTCGACCTGTGGAATGTCTGCCAGTCTGGGACCAGTTGCCAGCTGACGGACTGGCGTTGAAGGCAGAGCTCTGGAATTGCAGCCACTCGGGCTCGACGCCAACGTCTTGCTTGCACCACCTCTCGCCTTGCTTGGAGAGCTTCCATAGCTCACGTTGTCGCCCATAAGTGACCGATCCCGTGAGACCTGCGAGACTGGGACGTCTCTGACTTCACCTTCTTCGGTGGCGTCACTCTTCACGGATACACTGCCTACTTTCGGGGGTGGCGTAGCAGGTCCTTCATCACCCACGGTCTGCCCGTTGCCGCAAGCCGAGATTCGCTGGAGAGTTTGTCCACTGGGGTTGTCGGCCAGCTCACGCTTAGTGTCAGATGGGCTCGCGGCTTGTTGCAGGACATCCTTGATAGGGGTGGACATCTTGAGGGAACGACAGGCTATTGATTCTGGGGCAGCAGATGAAAACAGGGAAACAGGTAGACAGAACTTGCGAATCGTACAGAAGAACGAGAAGCAACGAGACGCGCAAGATCAAGGCCAAAGGACCAGGAGGAAACCAAATCAAGTGAGCTGAGTTGAAAATACTTTCAAAAGAGCGTCGGAATGAAAATGTGGTGTGTGCGGGAGAAGAAGAAAAGAGAAGAGAAAAAAAAAAAGCAAGGTGGGTAATCGAAGTCTTTGAAATGGGTTTCTCTCGCACAAGGCGAGGCGCACAGAAACATCGCGCTGGTTCTGCCTGTCAGAAAACCAACGAACATTGGATGCGGTCAAGGAAACGTACTGAGCGGTGGTCAGGCTTGACAGAAGACGCAAGATCATGTGCTCCATAGGTCCATGTGGCTCGACTCTCATCTGTTTGGACTTATAGTCTGGGATAACAAGAACAGACGAGACTGAATGAGTAAAGACCCAGAGCTTTTCTACAGGGCATTGCAGGATATAGGGATTATACAAGACTTACATATGTGATAGCTACTATTTCTAAACCTACAATTATATACCAAGTAGTCTTGATCGCATCAAGTGCAATATAAATATGGAGGGACTGAGGTACATAGCTCTCAATGTGCTTCTGACTAGCCAGGCAGTATGGTTCCCTAAAGAATATCAGCAACTATCCTTGATGAACTTGGTCAATCAAGTTCAAACTACAATTAAAATTAGGCTTCATCTGAAGCGAACGCCCAGTCGCATATGCCACTGAGGCGAAATGTACAACGCGCAAGCTTGTGTCACCTCCCATGCAGAGCTGCATAGGTATAGAGCCAGGGAGTTTCAGGTACCAGTTCATCGATGAAACTCTACGATTGTTGCCAACTACGACCGATGTCGGACGAAAAGCACTCTACAGTAGCACCAAAAAAAAAACAAACAACAACCACGCGTACTCGCATTACGTCACCCCCAAGTAAACCATCAGCAAAGATATGCAAACAAGCGAGATGCACTCCCTAAACAACTCCTGGAGCCATGCTCGCCCACACCCAGCAAACCAAGATCCCTCCCCTTCCTCAGATTTTCAGCGTCTGCCCCGACCACGGCGCGCAAAGAGACCTGTTCCCTTCCTTGGGCCCTCAGGAGTACGAGCCCGGCCTTCATCTGCAGCAATGAATTCCGGCAAATCTGAAAGCAGGTGTCTAATTGTTTCAGGTGAGAGCAAGGGATCCAAATCCACCTCAGGCGAGTCCACGTTGGCGTCGGGCATGAACACCCCGTTTCGGGAAGAGCGAGTACTACGGTTGCTGATGGACGATCCAGATTCAGAAATCGAACCATCACTTGACAAGGACTGGGAACCGTGATGGGCTGCCAGACGTGGCGGGGAAGGTGAACCCACCAGCGCAGGATCGACGCGGCCGCTGAGATATCTACGAGCGTAGCGCCGAGACGTCTCATCTCGTCTAGCCCTGAGCGGGGACGGCGTCTTGAGGGCATCTCTGACCAGCTCTGCTCGGATCTTCTTCCGGCGTGACGAAGGCGTCCTGGGAGCATCCCTTGGAAGTCTCTTTGTGCCTTCCTGCGATTTGGCTTTGGGATGAGGCGGCGTCTTGGGAGCCCCATGTGGGATGTGGTCCGCGCTTGTCACCGATCTGGAAGTGCTCGCAATTCGTTGATAACCCGCCTTCCAGAATGCAGCTGGGCCCGCTATGGATGTATCTCCAGATGCAAATACCGCTCCACCAGTAAGGACGGGAATGCCGTGCTGTGCTGACTGAGAAGCACGGGGGCTGGCAGGGCCATGGGGGTTGCCTTGTGGGCCTGCTTCCTGGGGTATGGTGATGTCGAAGGGACGACTACCACACGAGCCGTGGCTGGGACTGTCGCGCTTTGCTGACTGAGAAGCACGGGGAGTGGCTTGGTCATCATCGTTACGGTCATGTTCGGGGCCTGCTTCATGAGCCATGGCCTTATGGAAGAAGCGCTGACCATGCACGGCCCATCTGGGAGCTGCTGAACCCCACATGTAAGGATTGGGCCATGCAATCTGCGCAGATTTCAGGGCCACTGATTGAGGAGAACATCAGCTGCCGCAAATGACGAAGATAAAGATGAAAGCTGAGCGGAGTTCACGTCACTTAGCCGTCACTTACCGTGAGGAACATGCTGGAAGCTGAAGATGGCCACATCGTGAATTGGCTCAATGACCTCCCAGCCAGGGCGAGCAATACCCTCCGAGATAACGACCTTGATTCGGCCAAGAGAGGCGTTAGCATCTCCGACGCCCATTTTCAGTACCTCCGGATGGAATGGAGGGAATCGGAGAAGGGGCCCATGAGCTTGGCCGCCGTTCACTATTAACGTTAGACTCGATCTAAATCTGCGGGAAGTGACGCGTACCTGAGCTGTGTCCTGTTGTGATGATACGTTAGTCTCGGCGGTGATATCAAAAGATGGCCTGCATCAATGTGTCGTGGGAGAGGACTTACTCAGAGTGAATGGATGCGCCAAAGAGGGAGTGAACCAGCTACCCCTATAATTCAAGCGTCAGTCTTGCATTTGAGCATCCTGAATCATTCTGGAACATGGAGGTCTTACCCAAGGCACACGCCGTCAACCAGAACCCGCATGCCGTAGACCAATGTATCGCCCGGTATCATGGTCGAAAGAGTGATCCAGGTCGGCTCAGGATAGGCCCAGTGATGGATCGAGACTTGCATGGGCACAAGCTCTTTCATGCTGGGAATGAAACAAGTGATGAGAGGGACCTTACCCCAAGTTACCACATCGTTGGCTCCCAATGCTCGTTGCATCAGGTCAGGATTGGTCAGGTATGGCGAGTCTCTATCCTGAACCACCTGGTAATTCACCTGATACTCCTGAAGCGGGATTCCAGTGTCCGCGGGATAGATCACCACATCCCAGACGTTGTAACGCATTTTGATCTGACTTTGGTGATCAGGTAATGCAATCTCGTCGGCTCAGCGTGAACTATTAAAGGAAGCGGGAGCTAAAGGGGGGGGGAGCAGGGAAAAAGGCGAGGGGAAGCAGAGAGGCCGCAGAGAAAAAGCTAAGCAGAAGCCAAGGGGGACCAACAGAGATGTGAAGGTTTGGGGAGGGGAAGAAGGAAAGAAAGAATCGTGGGAAGAGATGAGAGTTCTTAAAGGACCATGGGCTTTCAGGAGAGCAAACGTCAACCTCGGGGCCCACGTCCATGTCGAGAGACCAAACGTCAACATCGGGGCACACGTCCACGTTGAAGGAGCAAACGTCAACGTTGTGTCGGTAGGGCAACCGTCAACGCAAGTACAGAACCCCATTTGGAAGGTGACGGAAGTGGAATTGACCAAAGCAGAAGGGAGTTCCTGACCCACGACTGAGCCTCACACATCATGCGGAACACGAGATATATAGGAGTTGGAAAGCGCCGATCTCGAGGGAATTGAGGTCTGATATTCGAGGCGATACTGACATCCGACGTTCATGCTTGTTCGATCTCGAGGCTGCCACCGAAGACGGCTTCATGTCATGCATACCTCTGTATTTGCCTTTGCCCATCTCGAGGCCTTGAACGTTGTGTTAAATCAGGCAGATCAAGCACCGCGTGATTCAGACGTAACGGGGTTTCCGAACGACTTATACACAACAGCTTGATCAGCATGATGAATTTTCGAATAGCAGCACCGACATCATCAGCAGCCAGAGTGATGACAATCATGATCATAAAATAAGATAGACCGTCTTCAATCCAAGGGACCGGACCTCCTATACCGAGTCCGAAAGACAAGGGATGGCGGACGGTTCTATCAAAAGCTGGATAAAGATAAAGCGAATGACGTTGAGCATGCAAAGCAGATCATGTACAAATTGGTATCAATATAGCTAGAACAGCGTCTTCGAGATTGCCATCCCACAGACAGACAAGGGACATGGGTGAATGAGCAAACCCATATCTATAGGAGACCAAGGAAAAGAGGAAGTAGTCCAGTCTGCTTGCTCAGCCAACAGGAAGCAATGGTAGATAGAGGAAACTGTAGGAAGAATACTAAAAGAATGATGGAAGATATGGAAGATACGGAAGTATGGTGGAACTTTTCTTTCGCAAGAGGCCTGCCCATAAAGCATAAGAAGAGAAAGAAGCACATGGAAGATACGGACTCTCGTTACACGCAAAACGGCACCACCTTTTTAAGCGAGGAATTGACGGAAAGCGGAAACTGTAGCAGGATATCCATAAAATAACTGAGACGGGCATCGAGCGTGGGGGAACAGACTGAAAAAAGGGCAAAGCACGTACTGACCTGGCCAGCGGACCAGATCGACGGGAAGGGGGCATAGGAGGGGTTACATAATTTGGAAAATTGGAAATGGGAAAAGTGAGTAAAGAAAAAGGGAGGTGAAGACCAAGAAGGAAATAGAATTGATCCGTAGATCCTTTGAAACTGAAGGGCGAACCTCAGCAAAATTCAAAACCAAGAAAGATTCAAGAAGACGGGCTCGGATCTTGCTAAGCTGAAAGCGCTCAACGAAATATGCGTTGCGCAGCAGGGAGCATGCTCATCAGAAGCTGCTTAGCGCAGAGAGGCTATTGAGAATTGGGGCAATGGCAAAACCGCAGAAACTAGGCGTGGAGAAAGAGCAAACTCTGTTTTGGAGAAACAAGAAAAGGGCGGCAGGGTAGAAAAGAGACCCCCAATTGTTGAAACGATGCGAACAACTCCCGCTGGTGCTTTCAATCAAAGACGAACGCGCTTACTGGAAGAGAAGATGACTAGTCAGCCGACCGAGCCTGATAAACTTTAGGAGAGTTCGGGGGCCGGGCTGCCGGGGTGACTGCTAACCTTCATTGGGGCAAACCCGCCGTACTGGTGAGTGGGGGGCATGCCCATGGAGGGGTACATGGGAGGAGGAGGGGGAGCCGGGCGATAGGGGCTGCCAGCAGGGCCGGAGTTGTTCTGGGAACGGCCCCAGCTGAGGCGGACACGAGAGTTACCAATGGGGTAGCCCTGCATCTGGTTGATGGCCATCTCGGCGGCGTGGCGCTGGACGAACTGAACGAAACCGCAGCCCTTGCCAGGAGGGATCTTGACGTAGGTGATTTCTCCGAAGCCCTGGAAGAAAGAGCGAAGCTCATCCTCGGTGACATAGCCAGACAGACCACCAACGAAGACGGTGGTGTTGTTAGGATCAGTGAACTGGTTCATGGGCTGGGGAGCACCGTAGAAACCCATAGGGGGACCACCCATAGGAGGGTACATGCCAGCGGGGCCGGGCATGCCACCCATGTTGGCAGCACCAACACCGGGACCCTTGTTCTTAGGGGTCGCGGTGGAGATACGCATGGGGCGGTTGCCACAGTAAACGCCCTGCATCTCAGTAAGAGCACGCTGCTGGTCGTTCTCATCAGAGAAGCGAACGAAACCGTAGCCACGAGACATGCCGGAGATGGGATCGGTCATGATCTTGGCAGACTTGCAAGAGGGGAACCGGCTCTGGAACAGAGAGACCAGAACGTACTCGTTGACCTCGGGGCCGAGGTCACCAACGAAGATGGAGAACTCGGGGCCACGGTCATCACGGCTATCGCGAGGGCAAAGAATATCGTCAGCATTTAACGAAGAAACGAACGCTCTGTGGAGCTGTCAGAGCCATATCAGAGTTGGTGTCTCACCTGCGATCAGCAAGACCGCCACCAGTGGCCCAGTTCAGCTTGAAAACGCGGTTGGTGTTGGGCATGGGGGTACCGTTCAGCGAGAGAGCCTTGGCAGCAGCAGCGGGGGAGGCGAAGTCGACAAAGCAGTATCCAGCGTTGCTCCTACTATCATCATTAGGATCATTAAGGGTTCCGTCACCTAGACAGCCAAGAGAAGCCAGTGTCTTACCCAGAGAACTTGTCGCGGATCATCTTGACGTTGACCTGCTCACCCATCTGGAACCAGAGGTTGCGGATGAAGTTCTCATCAATCCAGGGCTCAAGCTCACCCATCCTGTGGCTCGGGTCAGTAAGCTGTACTTTGGCGGAGTCGCAACGAAGATGTCTCAGATCATGCGAGGGAAGGAAACCTACCAAAGGGTGGTCTTGCCATCAGCGCCCTGCTGAGGGCCAGAGGCAGACGCGGCATCACCAGCGGCACCCTGGAAAGGAGCACCGTTGTTGTCAGGCTGACCGGTCATGGTGGTGTCAGCCTGAGGGGGCGCACCACCAGCGGCGGCAGCGTCCTGGTTGGGGAAGGTATCGAAGTTCTGGAAAGACATGGTGGCTTGCGAAAAATCAAACTTGTCCGAAATTCGACGTAAAGATATGAGACGGCCTAAAAGCTTCGTGGAGTCGTTAAGAAGAGACCGTAAGACAACCCAGTAGGTAAGAAACCGGCGCTAAGTTTTCCTGCAGAGACTTGCGTGGTTGTTAGAAAAAGAAAGTTGAAAGAGAGAAAAAAGAGTGCATGTGAGAGAGGAGAGTGAGAGAGGGTTGTGGGATGTTTGGCTGCCCATGCACGTGACGATAAGGTTGTATCAGCTGGCAGCTAGGTGCCAGCGACAAGGTATAAACGAAGCCAAATCGCAAAGCGGAAGATAAGCCAAAATTGAGCGAAAGTGACCCAGGTTCGAGTGTGGAGTAAATGGGTTGGGCGAGAGAACCGCGAGTCGCTAACCCAATTCCTTGCGACCATGTCTCCGCTTGCCATAGTGATAGAATGAAGTCTCACGCAATTTCTTCGGATCGCTGAAACCCTTTGCATCAGAAAGCAGCAACAATGATCGATCAGGAACCAGCGGGCGGTGAAGTCAATGTGATGGCGTGAGACAGAAAATGTGACAGTATTGGCGACTGAGAGCATTCCGGGTAGGTGAGCGCCCGCATGCGGCCACTTCCTCATCCATGTAGCTTGAAGCCCCGATTTAGGGTTGCGCAACACGATTTCCGTGCGGTCCATCGATACTGTTATTCACATTATGCCAATTACTCGATCATATTTGCGACGACCGCGACACGATATTGGTATGCTGGGGCAAGCGTAGACTGGTCGCATTGGGCGGCGGGCGGAATCGGGCAGACGCAACGACGGTTCCCGGAGCCATTGGGAAAAGAGCAGAGCTGCCCGAGATGCTGAGCCTTTGCGCTATGACATCGCACGTCGACCTGGCACCTATCGAGCGTAGTTCACTTTGAGCCGTGACGGTGGTGCCAGGGCTTGCATCATTCTCTGATGTGTTTCGATGTTGCGGATAGATCGCGCGTGTAGTGGCAGGGTGGAAGTAGATTTGATGGCATGATGAAAGAGGCTTTTTTCTTCTCGCGGGTGCAGATAAAGGTGGAAATGGCGGGAAGTAGTAGTGGAAACTTACCAAGGGCAATGCTAAGAAGACCTCAAGAAAGCTCAAACGAAACGATACGAAGAGAAGACTTTGCGAGAGAGACCTAGAAAAAGCACAACTCCCGGAACGGCGCAAGACAGAACGAAGCAGGGATGGAAACAATGGGAAAAGAGGCGGGAGGGGAAGAAAGTTGGAGGAGGGGAAGAGAAGGCGATGAAGAACGGGAAATCTCAGATTGGATTACTCTTCGAGACCGACTTGGGACCCGGTTTTTCCTATGGAAAAGGGCGAAACCCCAGCGAAACGAACGGTTCAATTATTACGAGTGGAAAAAGCCTCCCACGGCCTTCAGTGAGGGGCCGTTCCAGTGGTGAAAGAGAGAGCTCGGGCATTTCACTGAGAATACACTGGAAACGAAATGACCGTACAGAAATGGTCTCAGTATGGTACTGTATGTCTAAGAGCTCATGCTTGGCCAAGTTGGCCAACTTTCAAGACTCGAAGCTGGCTCCCGTCGAAGTTTGGTATGATAGACATCGCTGGATTCGCTATGTAGAAGCGAATCGCTACTATACACATATGCAAATACATACATACGGTCAGTGTTTGTTTTTCATTAGTCCGTCGGTCTGTGGAAGCCTGCCACTGTATGTGAGTCAGGCGTTGCTTCATATCAGTTATGCTTCAACCTTACATGTACTTCGATCGAGCTTGACTTCCTGGGCCAGGGACACAAGACAGTACACATGTTGCAATACTTGAGATTCACCCCATCTCCCAGTGCATATCTACTTCCAATTTCAAGGAAGACCTCGGAACAAGCGACAAAGTATATACAGTTGCATACTGTACAAGTGTACACTTGCAGTATGCCAATCACGCGAATGATAAAATCCTCAAGCTGACTTACCATGGCAGGTTATATGGTACCCGAGTAGCGCAAGATGCTGCCCAAGGGTCATTTTTGCACATGAATAACCCAGGAGAGATAGAGTTAAGAGGTATGCAGGTGGATGCAAGTGTGGTTCTGATACCCAGGATCTCGGGTCAAGATCAACGCACAAAGTACAATGAAGCTATGAGCCTATAAGAAAGCTAAAGTCTAGTGACATCGTCTACATAGGCGATCCTAGACATGCCAGGGTTCTGAGTGCCTCTTCGAGAGCTTTGAGATTGACCTGGTGGCTCTCCTGGGCGTGCTTTCGTTAGAGGTACTATCGTTGAGCGTGCGGTGTTTGCAAAGTCGGTTTCGAATCAAAGGTCGGAGCAGGTATAAAGATACCTCCTGTATCTTGTCGTAAACGGGTGTGAGAAGTAAGACTAAGTACCGCCTCGCCACACTCAAAGGAGAGCAAAAACAACTAGCTGGAGTCTGAAAGGAACAGTTTCCTCAAATGGACACCATTGCATAGAATCTGCAAGGGCCGTGACCCGGGAGGGGTCGTCGAGTGCAAAATGTGACTCGTCACAGTTTGCTTCTTTCTTCAAGAACGGCAAACACGATATTAATTGCCCGATGCTGCGCCCGACGAGTTTTTATTCCTTAGATAGGATCAATGTGACCAGGTGACTCGAGCGAGAAAAGTTTACACCAATGGTCCGAGTCAACAATTTCAAGTCTGATCGAGGGCCGTGAGAGCGATCGAAAGTATTAGCCATGCCAGGTACAGATTTGATGTGACCTCTTCCGGAGCTGTACTTCTGTAGATGTTGTCAACTTGTGACACTGCGTGACTGCTACGGTACATGAGTCCCTGAGAAACAAGGCCAAAACATAAGATCATGCTGACCTTTTTCAGATGTGTAGAATCGGTAAGTATTCATAGTCCTGATTTCAATGTTTGTAGTATCTAGCTACAAAAAGGACAATACAATTCTTCTGCATGATAGGAGCCGAAGAAGGGATTCTTCAGGCACGGATGCTTTGCATCAGGAACTGATCACCACAGAGATGACTGAAAGCAAGGATGCCTTATTAATCATCATCGATAATTCCAAGTACGTCACGGCTGCATACACAGGATCAGGCTGAACCGGTTCCCTGGGGCTGGATCAACAGCTCGTTAGAGCATATGATTGGATAGCTTGTGGAACTTTGAGCCTGTATCGTAATTCAGGAACTGTAAAAGAAACATAAATCACAAACAAAAGCCCGCAGTTTCGAGACTGTTTCAGTACCGTACTCGAGCTTCTCAGCTAGTCAGACTCAGCTTCCTGTGAGGCTTGTGAACCTGTGAGGCTCATACCAAATTGGCAGGTCGCCTTTGACTTCTGTAGAGATTTTACACTCTTGTCATATTCGAGGTTCTGCCAATCTTCCATCATGAGTTGAAGAGGATTCAAGAAACGGAAATGGATTTCATCCGATCTCTATCTCAAGTAGTTGAGAGGATAGTGACCAACCATCTCCAACCTACTACAGAGTACAGTGGTATCTCTACTCACGTACCTCAGGACAAGCAGACTCACTTTGGAGTCTCAACCGAAAATCGTACCGAGTCGAGCCATATTAGCTTTCTTCCTGGACTTACCATAGCTTCAAGATCAGGTAAGAACCTTTCTATCCCTCGGATTTGCTCAGGCCGTGACGCGTGTTCTGCGGACTTGCTCATGATGATTATCTCTCTCTGTATAAATACCACCATGACCTACGGAAGGGTCTCAGTCGGAGGGTTGTCGGAGGATGTTTGTTACTTTGTTGTGGTATGTGTAAGGGATTATCATTGCTGATCCATGGGGACAGGCAATACTAAACAAGGTACATAATCATAATTCAGGTGTAAATCTATCCTATAACGTAGATTGACCGTTGATACCTGATCATTTGATGGGCGTTGACTATACAGTACCAGTCTTCTGTGATTCAATTGACAAGGTCCAGCTGCCAGCTGGTCCTTGCATCCGGGCTGAAGGCCTGAAAGTCTGAAAGCGATAATACAAAATACATGGATATTCAATACAGTAGACGACGGATGCGTAACTAACGACTCACGAGCAAGATTCTGCGACCGTAACATAACTTCATCATTCATGAGACCCGCCTTAGTCATTGCCTTATTGCAGGCGGGACTGGTGCAGCCAGTGCTTGCGGCTGTTCTGTAACATTCTGTACAAAGATCACCATTTCCTTGATGCGCAAGACCACTGGCTTTTTAGAGTTACTAAAAACACTTTACCTTACTATGAATGCAATTGTAAGTTTAAGTGGAACACTCAATGTCAATGATAGTAGCCTATGTAACCATTCTTCCTGAGATAGTCAGTGAATCAGCATGATCGAACGTTTCAAAAGTCATGATTCATCATTACGATAAGCTTGAATCTTGAGTCCTGGACTGCGCCGAGGGCTCCATGGCTCCAGGGCTCCATGGCCATGTGGGAAATTAATTACTAGCGCACTACGCCAAATCAGCTCTAGCAGATCGCTCAGCTACACTCTTTTTTCCATCAAAGGGTCGATTCAAAGCACTTGATTGGCATTGACATGACATAGACTTTCAGGAGATGAGCAGAGCATGGAACTACTGACACTACTCCTACCACATTCGACTTGCCGAGCTACCTTTACAAAAATAATAGCTGTCTGACAGAGGACCTTTCGCGGATTCCACCCTTTTTGCCACTTCATACGCGACTCGCGTAAGACACGCACATTGTCTGCCCCAACGAGAATATCGAACGAATCCCCAGTATGCTTGTACCATGGCTCACAGCTTCAACCACCCACCATTATAGGCACACAAGCTGACACAAGATTTCCGGAATTCCACAGAAAGAATTTTGGGATTAGGGCTGGACCATATTTCATACAGTATGTGCTCTGTGCTCTGTCGTGTATTGTTGGGTCTTTTACTCGCAGCTTCGGGCGAGCCCTAGCAGTAGCAGAACCTCCTCCGATGGTGATTGTAGAGTATATTTTGAAAATGAAGTCATTATCTATCCGAGGAAAATCTCCTTCCTTCTTGCTTTTACCTGCTTGAACACTTTGATAGTTTGAAACATCTCCAGAGAGACTAAATCTTTCTTGTGCTAGCGGAACCCCATAATCAAACAGTCTCAGTGCCCAAGCACGATACACGCCCTTTCGGCCTTGATTGTAGACCAAGGCCTGTACCTCATGTACCATCAAGGCATCAACCATGTACCGTGTACCGAGTCTACCGACCCAGCAAGTGGTTCAGGCCCGAGGCTGAGCAAGTCTCTTCGACCCAAGCGGCTCCACTTTCAGGGCTCGCCTCCACTTGGGTTCGCTACCCTTTGGGCCAAAGAGATGGCTGGATCTCGCTTCTCTTGATACACGGTGTATTTGGGTGGTAATGACGGAGTGAGACCGCAGGGCGGGAGATGGAATGACAGGACGATACGGGGTGCGGATGGGCAAAGTGAAAAGTCTGTTTCAGTGGTTGAAATGTTACAGTGCTGGTTGGGTTACCAGTTGATTACACAAATACACCCAGCTTCCCGTCGCTGTCGATGTCATATGAATGTTTTGGAGCCCTTGGCTGCAGTTGTTGATTCCAGTAGCATGGGAGTATGGGCCTATGGGCTTGAGGTAGTAAAGAAATTAAGAATACAGTCATTTTGGAGCACTTGTCTCTGTCACTACGATGAACGATGCGGAAGTGCTTCAGCATATACCTTCCTGTGGGCATGGATAAATATAGTACTGATTGAAATTGAAATCATGCAAGAAGTTTCACAACCTATCGTATGTAAACCTACAGGAGAGAACCTGAGCAACGCTTTCCCAGTCCTTAAATGGCCAGTGAGCACGATGTTGAGAGACCTTCATGTGCTCTACTAGGTCTTCGACATGAATTACATTCACTCGAGCTGAACACTTACCGATATACTAAACTCCAACTCGGTCAAAGACCTGAGTAGTCTGTCCACATGGTGGATCGTGATAGTAATGAATATATTATCTCTTAAATTAATCAGTCAACTCCCACTAAGCTCGACATCTAATCAAACTCATTGAATCCACCTGTTTCATTTGGATCTCCTTGATCTCCAAGTAGCATCAACACACGCTCATAGACCTTAGACGCCTGCATCATCCACACCGGCATCTCAGGCTCGTCCCAGTCATCCTTCTGGTCTGCGTCATCATCATCCTCATTCATCTCATCCTCCCGAGGCCCCGGCATCATTGCAAAAAGATTAGTCCTGGTGATTTCTGCAATACTTCGGATCCGAACTTTCTGGGTCTGTGTGACCAAGGGATGATGGGGACTTGCCCCTGGGAGTTTGTGGTGAGAGGCAGGATGTTCACCTTGCATCAATGCAATAAAGTAGTAATCAAGCTTGTTCAGAAGGGCCAATGTTGGAATCGGGTCAAAGTTGTATGTTTTCAGGGAACGCTCCAGAATTCCCGCCAGCGTGATCAGGCCTTCAACCTGGATGGAAGCTGCGATAAGAAAGGGGGTGTCAGTCATTTGACAGCGCCATTTGTATACCAAACTCAGCTACAAAGCTCAGGACTTGTAGCTCCGATTCCTGTGTGAAGGCACAAAGTGAGAAAACGAAGGGAGAGAAGAAACAAGAAAACTCACGAGTGGCCGATTCCCAAAGCATATCAGCCGTGCCCTCAATATCATCGGCTAATTGCTGGATGCTCGTGTAGCGAGTCAGACCCGCTTGTGTGTTCGTCGCATCCATGCCAATCCGAGCTTTCATCTGGCGTGTATTGATGCGGTCAATCGCCATACTGAGACGACCACGAAGTTGTCTCTCAGCATCAGAGCCCGATGCCACGGGTGTTTCTCGCTGCTCTGGGATGTGGAGTTCAGGGGTCCAGGGGATGTTGGCGGACACAGATTCCGCATGTTCGGAAGGCTGATCTAGACTGCTTGGAATTTTTGGTTGAGGCTGAGATGGCTGGATGGGTACATCTTCGAATTCGACGTCTGAATCCGAGTCCACTGTGGGATCTTCTCGTGGAACGGGTGGCATTATGGGCGGAGTATACGGGGGGAACCACCCGCGAGAAATGGGACTTTCTTCGTTTGGAAATTTCTCCCGGATGCTGATCAGGAGGCAGGTGATGATGAAGATGTCACGTTCTTGGATGAAGAAGGCGAGTCAAAAAGACCGAACACTTCTGAAGGGAAAAAAAGAATGGAGAGGCTTCGTCGACTAATACTGCGGCGTTTGCCAGTCCTCACGACGTGGCTGGCTTCTCGCGATACCCACAAACAACTCAAACTTGAGTTGCAATGGTCGGTTTTACTAGATTGTAGTCACAAACGTCTGGATATTGAGGACTCGGGATCTATGCATCGGTATCATGCGGTAGATGCATCATGACATTCGGCTTGATGGCCCCACGAACGTGGCATGTCCTGCCAAGCGTTGGTCTGTGCGGGGCCTTGACGCATTCGAGTACCGCTGCACGACGGGGCTGGACGCAGTAACTGGGATGCATTATGTATCTCTCATACGGGCCTCTACTGACTCTTCGGACTACACACTCGTGTTGGAAAACCAGTCAAGTAGAAATAGCTATATGAGTATGATTCGACTCCATTACCACAAGTCAAGTCTACATAAGGACTGAGCTTACAACTTGCCAAAGGCCTTCGTGTTACACACCTATGTGGGCTGGAGACCCACGCGTGACCCCTAGACTTCGAGCAAGAGGAGCAAGGTCGTTCGTACTTTGAGTTATAAATGAAGTGTTTCTGCTCTGCATGCCTGTCTGTCAAATGCACTTGAAGCGATTCGACACCGAAGATGATGGGTCAGGATCCTTGAGCTCCAACTACCAAGACTGATGCTCACTAGACCGTTGACCCCACAGGGTCACTCCATTGGGTTAATAGTCGCCGATTTCAGCAAATGCTGTTTACCAGGAGTTGGAGACTCCACAATCATCAACCCGCTCATACGCAAGATAAGGATGTACCATGGAGGCTTTCATCATTCACCGTACAATGAAAATAGAGAAAATTTGTAGGACTCTCTTCCAAATAGGAATGATTCAAACTGGACATTGAAAATTAGTACCAGATTCACCATCATGACGAGGTACGTCTTGCGCCACATCACCTCTACCGCAAGCAGCATCCAGAAATAAGGGACTCTCCATATCAGTGGGTGAGAAGATTTTGCTTTGCTGGTTTTTGATGGCATTGCAGAACAGCGACGATGGAGAGTCTCGCGTTTTACTACACTGGCCCCAGCGGATTCATCATAGGAAGTATGTTGCGCATTGCGTGATGATGGGAAGGATAGAAAATCGATGTAATGATCGTTGTTTTGAATCAGACGACCGTAGGAATGAGAGGTTTGTGTGTAACTCACTCTATATATGTGGAGATCAAAGATGGAACAATCGAACGCCCGTATTCCAGCCCTGCTGGAATCCCAGAAAACGCCTTTTTTTTTCTTGATGCAATATGCGGTTTCACTCCGGCTAGAATGGGGTTCAAAACGGGTTAGCAAATTGTGACCATCAGATACCAAAAGCAAAACAGGGGAAATGGAAAGATGCCCAAGTCAACAACTGAAAGCACAAGAGAAGAGCGACAGAAGGCAAAACCCACCCGAATCGTTCCTCTCCGCATCTTAAGATCCTGCAATTTCCTCCTATCCTCATTAAACCGCTTAAGCAACATCTGCTGCTTCTCCTTCCTCTTCTCGCGAGACTGGAACCGATAGAAGTCTTCCAATCCTTCCTCCTTCTTCTTCTGCTTCGCCACCAACTCCTTCATCTCGTCCTCTCTCGCCAAGGAATTCAACTTGGGCCCACTGGTCACCGTGACAAAGCCATCCTCATCCGGTTCGCCAGCCTTCTTCGACTCCTCACGCTTCCGCGCCTCAGCAACCTGTTCAAACGTCGTCATGAACTCGTTCACCGTGCGCAATAGCTCCGCCCGGTCCGGATACCGCCGTTCTTCATGGACCAAGTACCGTGGCAACCCAAGCGCAGGAGGCATCTTGTGTGTTGAAATCCCGTTGCCCCAGATTACTGGCGTTCCCTTGCGGGCGGCTTTGGTCGCGGCCTTGAGACTAGCTTCCATGCTGGGTTTATCAGCGAAGACGACGATGACATGGGTGCCGCTCTTGTGGAGGGGTCGGTCCCAGGTTGAAGGGGGCCGGATGTTATCTAGGAGCGACTGAAGGTCGTCTGCCGTGACTGTGACGCGCTTGCGCTTTTTGTTGGAGCGGTGCGAGAGGTTGGATTCTGTGGCGGCTGCGACGCCGGCCTTTTTGACGGGGACATCTTCGAAGCTGATGCGCTCGATGCGGCCTGAGGAGAGTTGGGTGCTGAACAGGTGGCGGAGGTGGACTTCTGTAGTATCGATGGGGACGTTGACGATGAAGAGTGAGCGTGCGGAGTCTGGGTCCGGAATGCGAGGCTCATGGGGCCGAATGTAGAGATAATGGGTGGCTGGGGTCGGGAATATCGATGTGGGAGGCAGTTGAACTGGTAGGGTTGTGTACCCGGCCACTTCGACGGTGGCGTTTTTCATGGTGAAGGATGTAATGGTGTCTGGTCGCTATACTTGCGAGTTTCTTTTCGATGTCATTCCGATCTCTCTCTTTTTTTTCGGAACTTTTACGGCTAGCGTTTGAATTCTGCCGGTGATATCGGCGGGCGGTATGAGGTGTAGTAAGGCGGTGTATTGCATCAGATTAGCCCTAAGCGCATCAAATCGAAGTGACTTGACTTGTAGTGAACTCGACGAAAAGACCAGGGTTGAACGCTGATAGTAGTAGAAAATATGAGATTACATCCGTCTGTAATATGCCGATAGTTCTCACTACGATTCAAGGTCTCATCACCAAAGCAAGCGAATACATGACCTCTCATACAACTCAAACGATCACACCTTGTCAGGATCGTTGATTCCGCCATTAGTAATGACATATGTTGCCTCGCGCTCAGGACAATCTGGATTGCAAAGATTAGGCATCAAAAACTCATGCTTATAAAGATACCGGGCTCGTACCTGGGGAGTCTTGGATTTTCGCCACGCGTTCATCACCACGGCCTTTGCGAAGGAGAACGCGGGTAGTCGATGCATGCGCAAGGACATGGCCGCCAACGGGTTTACGTCCATCTGCACCTGCGAAAAGAGCACTTGCACCGGGGTCACTTTGGACCTGGTTTGTCTGGAATCAAAGGTCAGTCATCACCCCTGGACACCTGACTGCGAAGAAGGAAAGCTCCAATCGAGCTTTCACATACCATCAAAACGCACACGTTGAACTCTATCATTGGTGAAGCCAGCAGAAACGTGTCAGCTCTCTGAACTTCTTCCAATGACAATATTCAAACCAACTTTGACAACTTTGAAAGAAATACTCCACCCACCTTCAGCCATATGAGCCAACTTCATCAAAAACTGTCCCAACTTCTGCTGTCTCTCCGCCAACTCCCCCCGCCCACAATAATCCACTCGAAAGCAATTCATAATACTATCAATAATCAGCAACCGATACTGCCCATCCGCAAACTCCCGACTCAGCGTGTTCAAAAGCTCCAATTGATGTTCCGAGTTGAGAGCACGCGCATACGCAATGTTCTCCTGCGCAGTGTCCGGATCAAGGTTGAATCGCTCTGCAATTTGCGCGATTCTCTCGGGACGAAAAGTTCCCTCGGTGTCGATGTAGGCGACTTTGCCGTCGGCGCCGCCCAGGGAGCGGGGGAGCTGGGCGATGACGGACATTGTGTGGGATAGTTGGGTTTTGCCGCAGCGGAATTCGCCGAAGACTTCGCTTATGCTCATGCTTTGGAAGCCGCTGTCGTGCTATTAGCAAGGAACCAATAGGCACTGCGTGGACTTGGATGTAATTTCGCAGCAGAATGAGAAACATACCCGCCGAGAATAGAATCAAACTGCTTGCTGCCCGTAGAGATACGAACAACCTTTTTGCGTTGATGGTGCAATTCCATCGCAGTCACGAATCCAGTAGCAGAGGGCTAGAGTGAGAGGAAAAAGCAGTCCACAATGAGACCCTGACACTACACACTGATCATCATAATCAGATAAAGCCCTCACATACCAAACACTTCTGTATAGCTTCCTTGATCTTCTCAACCTTGATCTCACTGAAACCCTTGATCTTTAAAAGTGTTCTGCGAGTTGCGCCGTGTACTGACTGAAACGCATGTGTCAACGACATAAGAGAATCGCTGCGATTCCGGAGTCGGAGAAAAGTAAAAGACGTTCATGATGACTTACTGCTACAGTGTAATACCCATTGGCTTTGAGCTTAGTAATGTCAGCCGCACCAATGCCGTGGGCTTGAATCCCATCGATATCGATGATGAACTCCTGGAGGTTCGACATTGAGATGATTTAGTTTGCATGCATGGGTGCAGGTTGGATGCAAAAGACATGGGTCCGTCCGGGGTGAAAGCTTCTTACATCGTCATTCGATGCTTCGCCGGGGTCAGAAGCAGGCATTGCGTCCGATATTACACGAGAACTTGGAATGCCAGATCTAGCAAGTTCGAGAAAGAAATCGATGAGCGGGCGAGACAGAAAGGTGTATGGGTGTTGTGTGGAACTGGGATCAAAGATCACAAGGTCAACTGGCCACATGACTTTGCCGTGCCCTTGACACACGGCCACGTCAGGGTACAGGATAGATACATGAGGGTGGCCTCCTTGGGACTAACTAGTAGTAGGTGTATCAGGTAGCAGGAAGCACCGGCGCCTGGCTCGAATAGTTTTGATCGATTTCTTTGATGCAATCAACGTTGACTTGCACGCAAAGACCGGCAACAGACATCATCGCGATTGATATAGATCAACTTGTAGCAATAAGCTACATTACCCGAATTCTACACCACGCTGTATTCGTTGCGTATCATAGTACACGAATATACACAGATGTTGAGGGAAAGTCGTACCACGTCTCGGTATGAGTAGTAGAGTCTCACTCTTATCAACTGATAAAAGAGTGGGTACTACGCCCACTAGACAAGAGGGATAAGCCTCTTTATCTACTAATTTGGCGATTTCGCTCGTTTCTCTGCCATGGATGTCGAGCTTCGCCCACGTACTCGAACGAGCAGAGTTTTACCGCAAAGGCGATCTTCCCACTTCTATGATCTCGCTTCACGATGAACTTTCGAACCAATGGCACCTGACTGTCACGGTTCATGCTCCTTTCAATTTCCTAATTCATGGGCCATGACGGCAAATATGAAAAGCACAAACGCAATATCCAGATGTAATACCAACCATAGCACTGCGTTCCTGCAAGATTTCTCAACTACCAAAGACCAAGAAGAAAGCGCCACTGCACAACTTCAAATCTGGAAATTCAAGGAAGAAAAACGGTCAAGAACAAGGAGACGGAAGGTAGTTTCTTTTAGCTGTCGCATACGGTGGTCGTAGATTCCAGGAAATGGCAATTCAATGACAGGCTCTAGGACCCAGGCCATCCGGAAGCATAAAAAGGACGAGCGTGATGTCATGACTGGATGGCCGTAGATTGGTTCACAAGAGAGATGGAGAAGAGTTGGTGAGTGTCCAGAGGGAGGCAGGCGGTGTCGCGGCGTTTGAGATATATGCAAAAAGGGAAGAGATGTTGCCGAGCCGAGACTCCATGGAGGGAAGAAAAAAATAGGTTATAGAGAGAAGAAATGGAATAAGAACAGAGAGAAGAGCAACCGTAATACAGATTTGCAAAAGAAATAAGAGAAAGAAAATTCGTAAGACTATCCATCTCACACCATCGCTTTCCTATGCCCCTTGGGTAGGTCAAGTCGCCATGTGCTTAGGCAGGTTTATGCGACAGTGGGGGCAGGGACGGTAGCGGCCGCGGCAGCAGCAACGGGCGAGGCCTCGGCGTTGGCCTCCACGGCGGCGGTGGGAGCGGGGATAGCAGGAGCAGAGGGAGCTGTAGCGGCAGCGACGGCGGCGGGCTCAACAGCGGGGGCAGCACCAGTGGCAGGAGCGGAGGTGGACGCCTCGGTGTTGGTAGGGCAGTCACGAGAGATGTGACCGGCCTGGGCGCACTTGTAGCAGACCTTGCCGGCAGAGCTGAGAGGGCCACCGTTGGGGGCGGTACAATCGCGAGAGATGTGGCCGAGCTTACCGCAGGCATAGCACTTCATGGCCTGGGCCTGACAGTCACGGGCGAAGTGGTTGGGACCGCCGCACTTGTAGCAGGTCGCGGCACGAGGGTAGCCGCTGAAGCCGCCACGGTAGCCCTGGAATCCACCACGGGGGCCGGTAGGGCGTCCAGCGCCAGGAGCGGCAGGGTTGGTGCAGTTACGCTGCAAAATGTATCATTAGTCTTGAAAAAGGTCCTGGGTAACCGTGCCTTAGTGGGAGTGAGTGAGGGTGGTCTTACAGCAAGGTGACCGGGCTGGTTGCAGTTGTAGCAACGGCCATTGGCACCACCGTTCAAGCGGAGGGTAGGGCAGTCAGCCTGGACATGGCCAAGACCCTGGCAATTGTAGCATTGCTTGGCTAGAAGCAAGTCAGCATGTTGGCTCGTGTCCAGTTCGGTTTGATTGCGTAGATCCCGCCGAGTTGAAATGGATTCCTTACTTTCAGTGGTACGAGGCTGAGGGCAAGCGCTGGACTCGTGGCCTAGTATTCGAACCTCGTGAGACGGGTCCTTAATCCGACGCATTTGATTACATGCCAAAACATACCAGGTTGCTTGCCTAGGTGATTGAGACGTTAGCATTGCATCCTCGGCCGATGTGCAACCCAAGGGGGAAAAAGATCCAGGATGCGAGCAATTGTAAGACGTACAGTTGTAGCAGAGACGCTCCGAGGACGAGCAGACCTCTAGTAAGTAAGCGATTTTTGGTCAGTTTAGTCCCAAGAAAAACCTCATTTTCCACTGGTCCGAGTTCTCTCAACTAACCCGCATAGTGGCCAATGTTGCCACACTTGTAGCACGCACGACGGGACAACATCATCTTCGGTTTTTTTTTTTTCCTTTCTAGCGCCAATCAACACAGTGTCAGTCGTCAGTCGTTCCAAGTCAACGGGTGTGTGTAGCTGGGAAAAGTGCAGTCTCCAAATCACCCCCGCGCGATCTCAAATGCTGGTCATGTGCCACACCCCTCTTATCGCGAATTCCCTCCCGAGGTGCCAGTGAGGGCCAATTGATCCGTGTCGCAGGTTTGACCGACCAGAGAATCGTCCGCAGATTCACACAGAATGACTCATGGTGCGGAGTCAAGTCCGAGGCGGGTGCAATTCGCAAGGGAGGACGAGGTGAGGTGAGGTATGAGATGAGGTGACGCTTCGATCGGCGGGCGCGCGGGGGGGGATCAGAGCGACGACAGTAGTGCAGCACCATTCCAGCGAGGAGATGGGCATGTGAACGTGCGACCGAGAAGGCTTATAGTCGACTCACCCTTCTGAAACCTTCTTCAGGTCCTTCCAAAACTCAGCAGATCTAGCTCCCGAGTCAATTATTGCCTTTGTTAGCGCACGAGCTCAATGCGTTTTAGAGGTCAAGACACTTTTTCGTTGGTGGAGGCAACCAGAGAAAAAAAAAACGGCCCGCGGGGTCATTTCTTTTTCTGCCAACGAGCGCACCCGCAAGTCACATTCATGACAGCTCACTGCGGGTGCCGCTGCATAAGCACCTCATCATTTGGAGTCTCGACTTTCGGTAGGCTTGCCATGCAGCTTGGATGGCCATCTTCCTTTGTCAAGAGCAAGTCGGAACAAGCCAGGTGGTTGGAAAGGAAAGCGCAGGGAGATGCAATTGAGGGAATCCTAGTACTCACTCTCCACTCTCAAGCTTCGCCGAACGTCAATACCACTCAGGCGAGAGATCAGAAATTCCACCAGAACGACTAGCTCGACGGGATCGAGAGGGGAGTAGAATGAGACTCGAGTCAGAGCGGCCCGAAAGTGGGCTGCAAACTCATCAAAAGGCTCAGCCTCCGAGCCCTTCCGCATTGCGTCAAGTCCGCCGAGGTGATTTGGTTCGGTAGGGCTGACTCTGGACTGCTATCACCGGGGAGCTATGCTACAAGGATGGGGTGGAGTTGAGCGACTAGAATCTAGAAGAGGCGGAACTCATTCACCGTGTGATATTCAATGACTACCACGCCCTGGAGGCCCTGGCTTATCTCAATAGTCGATACTCGGAAGTCGACTATCCACAAGGATGGACTGATCGGGAGTTCACCCGGAAATATCTCCCCTGTCAAAACCACCATAATCGATGCGCTTGGAACGGCCCGCCGAACAGGCATGACCGTGCAACATGCACCATTCTCCTGTGGATCCAAAGGATACACGACTACTAGGATGATCATGCACGCAAGCAAAGATCCACTAAGAGTAATTAAGCCTGATCATTTGCTTCATGGATGCATTCCAATGAGGGGGATTTTGTTTAGGGAAAATAGAGATATACCGGACCCACAAGCCGAGCATCAAGCGTCGAGCTTGTCATTAAATAAGAGAACCCCAAAGTTGTCAGGACGCACACACAACTCTAGTCCTCCTCCTTCTCGATGATCGCCGGAGCCTTGATCTCGCGGCCCTGCAGGAATTCCAAGTTCTCACCGCCCTAGAAGGTCAGGGGTTAGCGTTGACCCATCCGCAACAACATCAGCAAGCAGGACATTCTCGTGTGAACTTACGTAGCTGATCAATGGAGACACTTCCACACCAAACTTGTCACCCTCGGTGACCACAATGCCGCCTGCGGCCTCGATCCACCGCTGGCCCTGCTTCATGATATCGGCACGGCTGGTGTCGGGATCGTCCTGGCCAGTCCCGGCGGCGTTCTTCAGAGGGGAGAATTCATCCTCACGACGGACCTCAATGCAGGCAAACTTCTCCAAGGGAGTCATGGGGAACACATCAAAGACAAACTGCTCCAGCTTGACACCGTTGGGGCTAGTAGGCTTGACCGCCTCGCCGCTCTCCGGGTCGACGTGGGGAATCTTCTTGCGAGCCACGTGGTGAGGCAGCTTATGCATCCAATTCTCGATGGACTCAAAGAAGCTGAAGGAGTAGTAGTGGTTGACAATGTTGGCAGCTCGGAACTTGAGCAACTCCGGATCCTTAGGGTCCTTGGCTTCAGCGGTCGCCTGATCGATCTCCGAATATTCAACCACATCGGGCTTGCCGTTCTTCTGCAGGATCAAACCAACAGACTCGGCAGCATCCCGCTTGCGCACCACCTTGGTGGCAATGTCAACCTTTTTGGAGGCGGAAAACCCAATGAAGACGGGGTCGGCAACCTTGACAAGGCAGTTGTCCACACAGTAGGCGTGGATGTGCTGAATGCCGCGCTTGCGCATATCTTCACGAACGCCCGATGTAACGATAGCCTGATAGATACCACCGTTTCCATCCGGAGCGACGGCTACCTAGATAATGACAGAACAGAAGCGTCAGGGTTTGTGGTTCAGAAAGCGGGCTGTCTCGTTCTTGGTGCATAGAGATCCTTACCTTGCTCTTGCTCTCCATAATAATCTTACCATCATTTGAGATGCAGGGCAAAACGCCCTGCTCAAAGATAAAGACATTCTCCTTGCTCAAACCAAAGAACTTGTTTTTCTCAAAAAACTCTTCAGTAGGCTTGCGGGTTGGCCCACTGGTCATCACATACCAGGGGATGACGGCGCTCTGAGTACCGTGAGCCTGGTTCGCCAACTCCTGGAGCTTCACAATACGCTCGGCCTGGAGTTGGAACAGCGACTTTTCGCTCAACAAGCCAATATCGAAGCAGCCCTTGGGAGCGGAGCTGCCAAGACGAGTACCCTGACCACCGGCCATCAGCACCACGGCCACCTTATTGTCGGCGACCTCCTTCAGACCAGCATTATACCAGTTTTTGAGATCGGTAGGATCTGAATCGATGATCGAGGCCGTCGCCGAGGCCGGGAGGGGCTCCAGGGTGGCAGCAGTCTCCTCGGTCTTGGGTGGGTTGAGAGCCCTGTCGGCCAGCTCGTTGATGCGGGTCACATCGAATGTGGATAGTTGGTGGTAGAGTCGAGACTTGTCGACGGTCTCGAGCTCGTCGACAAAGGCGAAAACTTGACCCTGTCCGGCGTCGGTGTATTTCTTCTGGAGATGCTTGAACTCATCGGCGGACGGCTCGCGGGGTACCTCCTCGGCCGGACCCGTGATCTTGTTGATCAGGTTGGAAACGGTGTCCATAATCCCAGCCATTGCGAAGGGGAAAGGTAAGCCCGGTGTATATAGTTGATGGAAGTGGAAGATGAAAGGAAGAGGCTCTTCGAAGGGGGAAGAAGAGGTTGTAGAGGGAAGAGATGGAAGGGGAAAAAAAGGAATAGTCAACACTGCGAGGGCGCGGGGGTGAAGCTCAAGCTCGTGGTCTCGCACACCGTCATTACCCACTTTATTCTGTACCTTCCATCTGTTTCACCCAATGTGGCTGACGGCTGCGCTTTGGACTGCCGCGCTAGCATCCGCCATGAAACCACAATTTTGGAACCTCGATTCATGGCTCCATTCTTATTTTTAGCCATAGCGACGTGTCTGTATGTCTTATTGTTTGATTCTTCACGCCGAGGTCCATATCATCCTTGTTCTCATTCAGCCTTTTTCCTCGTGTGTTTGTGATTTCCGCACCCTAATGAGAGCTTCGAAAGTATTACTGTCTAGTGTTTACCCATTCTGCAGTCTTTCCTTCTGTTCGGCCGGATTTTCAGGTCAACTGTAGGACAAGGAGGAGGGCGTAATGATCCACGCACTGCCCACTTCCAACAGCATCAGAACTGACCAGTCCAGCTTCGACATCCGCCCCATGTGGATCAGCCCCGCTACAGACCAGAAAGGAATCAGCTCAATTCACCGCTCTGGAGATCGGACACGTACTACTGCGGTGTTCAGCTCTGCTTTCGCTGGCTGTGAGCAACATAACATACCGAATCCTGAATACCAGCCTGTCTCGATTCTAATCGCAATGACATTGATCTGGGCATAATTTACATGGTGTTCCAGAGAGACTGGCATTTTTATGTCCCTCACATGAAAAGGTCCGAGGCGCATGCCTCCCATGTGACAGGCTGCATCAGGTATGCGCTGCATTGTTGTGACATTGCAATGCTGCATAGATGAAAAGCTGCGGAGATGGCTCTAATAGATGGAGTGACCGGACCGTGGCTCGTCATCAGACTTTTCTCAGTGTCTCAGATTCTTAATGTACAAGTCAAAAGAGAGCACATGTCTGACTAGAATACAGTTCATCAATTCATCGCCGTCGCTCATATCGATCATCTCGACGAGGTCGATCTGCATCCCGTCGGTCATCTCGATGTCGCCGTTCGTTCCCGCGGTCGCTGCGCTCCCGATCACGATCCCGATCCCTTCGGTCAAAGTCTCGACGGCCTGGACTCCTACTTGAAACTCGTCGCCGATAATGGGATTGATGAGAGTCTCGGCCCCGAGGACTGCGGCTGCTGCGCCGGTCGCGGTGTGAGTCTCTTCGAGGGCTGCGTGATGGCCGGCGGTTGCTGCGGGGAGCACCACTCGAAGGAGGTGGTGCTCCACGATTTGGTCGCGACCGATCAAAGACCATGTTGTACGCTCGGTCTCCGTTCTTGGCCTGTGTATCATCCGATACTCGGTACTGGCGTTTCTGTTCAAGGTCGGCGACACCGCCGAATCCACCGCGCTGCTGACGCTTGGCGACTGTTGCATTACGCCAGGTGTCGGAAAGTTTGGAGACCTAGAAGGCAGGTTAGGGAAGATTCATCTTTGGAAGCGAGACCCACGATGACTCGGAGAGGGAATCAGGGGTAGATAGACTGTGTGCGTGGGACGAAACGTACACTCTGGGAGAAATCAACGTGAATCCGATGGTCATCGATCAAAACGCCCTGCATCTTGAAATAGGCCTGCTCGCAGTCCTTTTGGTTCTCAAACTCAACAAAGGCGTATTGTAGGCTGTCTCCAGTGCGCTTGTCTCGAATGACTTCACAGGACAGGATTGTACCAAAGCGGCTGAAGATCAATTGTAGATCCTCATCTATATGCCGAGTCAGTTGACAGCCTCTTCGAGTTTCAAGAATTAAGATGCGCGACCACCACGAACCTTGTGTGACAGGGTTTAGCTTGCATACGAAAAGTACATTCTCAGGAGGCTTGACGTCGGCAAAAGGCAAATCACCCACCATCTCCAACGTCAACGCCTGAGCACGTGCCTCCCGCTCGCGACGCAGCTTCTCCATGGCCTCCTCGTCCATTTCCTCATCGAGGTCCTCATCATCGGCGATGCGCACAGTATCCAATTGCGCTTTTGTTGGCAGAGGACTTTCAGGTGGCTCCACAAGTCCGGTAGGATCATCAAAGGGGTCATCCAGAACAACCGTATGACGAATCCGAATATCTTTCAACGGCCGACCACGATTATCCACAAATGCCCCATTGATTTTCTCCAACACGTCAAACCCCTCGACAACCTTGCCAAAGATGGCCGCCTTGCCGTCCAGGTAGTCCAAGTTCTCGCCTAGCGTGATCAAGAATTGACTGCCAGCCACCCGTTGATCTGGATCGTTCGGCGAGGGCACCGTAGCCATACTGACGGTTCCGCGCTCGGTATGCTTCATCTTCGGTGGAATTTCAATCGGAAAGGTGCGTTTCGCGGGGCCGTCGAGAACGCCCCAGATCGAAGAGCCGCCATCGCTGCCGGGCGCGTCAGGGCCCAGCGGGTCGCCGGTTTGGAAACTGAAGTCTTTCTGGACGCTGTGGATGGGCGTAAAATTGTAATATTTGATTTTGCAGAGCTTCAGGAAGCTATGGGGTGAGACAGGGAAGAGCTTAGTGAATGGGTTCAGCAACGAGGTAGCATATTGGAGGTGAAGTGGACGCGAACGCGCGGAGAAAGGCCGGGGAAGTGGGAATGGGCGCTTACTTTTCACAGGCTTTGGGCGATTCGTCGACCAGCAGGTCGATCACGATATCGCCCAGAGAGGTTTCAAGTAGGGCACTCATGGAATCGATGGGAATGGGATCGGGATCGAGATCTCACCCCCGGTACCTCTTTTGCTGGTCAGTTTGGTGGATTGGGCAACGGCTTGCAGCACCGCTGTACTGAAGGTTTGGAGGTCGGAGGAAGATCGACGAAGCTCGGGCCTACTCCCAAGCCGAAAGTGTACAATACCGCGCCCTCGTGCATCTATCAACTCTCTTTCTACGTCCATCCTAGGTTCAACGATACTCCACATTCGGCTTGAATTGCACAACTGCATTAGTCCCTTCTCTTATTCTCAGGCGGTGCTTTTGTTCTTTCTGTCATGCAGACCAAGCATGCGTCAGGCGTTGTACAGCAGCCGCTGGGAGGTTTTCTGGTCAACCAGCGCCCGCGCGGATGATCGACCCGGTTCCTGTACGACACCTCTCGTCAATCGAACGGCATGGTCTTCCGAGGCTCCCCGTTGCAAATTGCGCGCCACTGGGCAGTCCAAGCCACTAGGAGAGTTTGCGATGTGCGTTTAGCATGTAAATCGCTGGAGGAGGTCCCCCCTGTTTGCGGCAGGTCTGGGGGGTTTCTCTGGATGCCTTGCAACTCCTTCACCGGGGGAGGGGTCCTCATGAATTGATCTTCCCTGCAGCCGCTGGTCCTATCCGAAAGATGCAGAAATAACAGAACCCAATGCTTGGCAGCAAGCGAGTCATGTAGATTCCCAGGAACTGACGTTGCTGAACTGGGCCAGGGTCATGTCGGGGAGCTGGGATTTTGGTCGTGAATCAGAGCCTTCTAATTTCCGCCACTTGCAGCTGTTCTTCGCGGAAGGCACCGAGTCAGGTCATGATTCTGGTTGTCATCGTTCTCGGACTACACGCTCTCCGGGTCATTCCTTCGTACAATGGCTGCTAGCGTATACTTATCTTTTTGAGTCCCTCAGAGCTCTTGTTCCACGGCAGTGTGTAATTCGTGGAGAAGCAACGGTCGGCCTCCTGCAGCAACGCCGTGTGGATATGGGACGATCCAGAACTGACCCTTTTTGTTCTGACTTGACAAGACAGTAGGAGCTGTCGATTGACGACAACCCTAACCACCTCCTCATTGCGATGGCAGGGAACCGCGTTTACCCAGGTTGCCCTGGATAGTAGGAACTAGGAACATCTCTCGGACAGGGAATGAGCACTACTGCAATGTATTTGAAGTCTTCCCCTTCCTAGCCCAAGATGAAGCACTGGTCAGAATTTCAATGCAATGGGCATATCTAGCGCGTCTATAAGGCAGGCGATGTGTTGACTCAAGTCTAGACTCTGTCAATTTGAGCCACTTCCATCCGCCACAAGACTTTTCGGTCTTGGTGGTCTTCTGCAGTGTAATGCTTGACTCAGAAAGTGCAGGATAGGGACAAGGTGGGCGAGGAACTTTTCTCCTTTCTCCTTTCTCAAGTGAAGCTTCTCTGTCACCTGTTCTGCCACTCTGAGGTTTTGGATCTCGTAGGTTCGGTTACGATGTCTGATTATCACTTTTCGACTTGACTCTAGCGTCGAAGACTTCATACATCCTCACGACCATGGAGGAGCTCTAAAGTGACCAAGCTCGACTTTATAGGACGATCAGTCTTGGGACAAGCGGAGCAGCATCAAGAAGCTAGTGGGATTAGCACACCACCAAACATGACAACCCAAAGCAAAAGTACATTTTATCAATGACCTGCTGCAAGACACAGGGAAGCTCAGACGCCAACTAACTAGCCCGATGCGCCGTCGGCGCAGTGACCGCCCTTCGGGTCATAGTAGCTTCCAAACTGATCCATGGAGGGTACACTAGTTATCCTCTACTGTCCTGACTCCTGAGTGTCTTTAGTGTTCAGAATTGTGCCCGACCCACAACTCCTCCATCACCAAGGTCCAGGCCCAAATCAGTCATGGATGTACTCAAATAGTAAGTGTGTGAGGTTCCAATGACTCTCTAGTCTCTGCACTTCTCGTTACGGTCCGCAGTCCTTGCTTTTTCCTTCCCCGGTTGCCTCTTCGATCCTGTTTTAAAATCTGCAGACTCACCAAAACAGAGTCTTCAAGGAATGATCGCCTCTAGCCAAACAAACCCAAATTTGTGAGTCTCTTGTAGACGTCAGGGGGTCCCTCGCAGAATCGGCATAGCGGCTAAACCATAGCTATGGGATCTACAATCTAGTAAATCGACACGTTCATGATCGGGCTCTCCAACTCCTGTTGCTACTTAGCGCACGCTTGTACGTGGGGCTTGCCGCACTCGCGGTGATTGCTTGCGCCGGCAGATCAACTGACAAGTGCAATTGATCGCTGCTGAATCTTTTGCTTCCTCACTCCGACCACCCGTTGAGACACTCAAGGCGCTGGAATTGTCCAGTCTAAGACATGATAGCAAAGCCTCCATTGATTCCTATGTCTGAGCACACCAGCACTCAGGTCATCCTGCCCTCTTCAATTGTGGTATCGGGCACTCGGTAACGCTCTGGCCCCATTGAAGTCGTTGGAAGCGCAAGTAGCATATGGAAGAACTGGATCCCAGTTGGTAAACAGTGGAGTCATGAATGGGGCTTCGGATTTAGGCTTAGCGTAGGAGAATCGACAGAAAACGCTCCTCTGTTTGATCGACCCCATCACCAGCGTACACTCCATGACTTTAGTGGCAAAGGTAGCCGAAGCCAATGAGTGTGCTAGAGCCACCTCCACCAGATGAAGCAAACACCATCTACCGAACGTTCTCCACGTCGATAACTGCAGCGGGAGCCTTTCCGGATCGAGACAGGGAGTGGGAGTCTGCAAACGTCCTGAAGCAGCCTCTTCCTTTGTCCCTGTGAAGATTGACAAATCTGACAGACCGCTCAAGGTGCAGAGGGGAAGCAGAGAAGATTGTGATGTGTGTCTTTTGCCATGACATTTCTCCCTCTGACGGTGGAAATGCCCGACTCCGTGTTGATGTGACAGGAGATGCTCAGTCTCAACCAAGACATCATCAGGCACCTCTTGAAAGAAAGCGAGACAAGCGCAAGAATACAATTGGCTGGATAGGAAGCAGGCTGTTTTTCTCTCTCGTCGCTATGACCAGACTCTTCTGTCCTGGTATGAGGATCTGACTATCTCGTCATATCTCGTGTGACGTTACTTTTGTGAAACCTTCTCTACTTGATCGAGACACCGGGGCAATCTTGCCTTCCACGTATTGCTCACCAGAAGCTAAACAGTGATTCTAGATCATGAGCCTGTCAAATCAGACCCTCAGATTCAATTGCCCGTCATTCTCCGACTTTGACAGAGCAGTACAATAGCTTGAGAGGTATGATTGGGATCACTATATCAGATTGAGATAGAGTGAAAAATCAGAGAATGAATAATCAGTCTTCTAGAAGTCTAGGGAAAGAGGGTCAATATTTTGAAGAATCCATTTTTCTTACTTCCTTATAGATGTCAGAGTGGAGTAGAAGAAAAGGCGTTCGTACCTTGGTTCTCTTCAGCGATCTTTATGCCCAGGGAAATTGTGGTGGAAAATTCCTCATTATAATCAAAGCAAGCACGGACTAGAGCGTTATAGGCAAGATAACACATTTCATGGAGTTCACCTGCAAATATCCAAATTTAAAAAAAAAAAAAATTAATTAAATTTTTGGCATTAGATCGCTACCTACACCCGAGCTCCACCAGAAACAGACATACACTGGGATATGCATAAAGTGAAAGCACAACTCCAAACAGGAAAAAAAAAGGGTTGATTTATTAGAAGGATCCATTCTTCGAATACGGAATCAGAATCACTTGAATTGTTACTAAAACACACCTTCTGGCCGTCTCCTCCTCTCCCTGGCTTTGTCTCTATCTCAGGAAACATGTCTCATTAATAGTCTTCCCTTGCCTTCTTTCTCACGATCTTCTTTCCTCCACCAACCGAGCTGAGCGCACCCTTCGAATCAGCTTGAACTTATACCACCAGCCGTCTCTATCTTCCCTGCAAGAGCAACGCCGTAGATCCTCTTGACGGTCAGCTGCTTTTCACACCTTCAAGGCATTGACGTGGCAGGCAGTGAGTATTGCACGCTTTCCCAAACCCTCAGTCTGCTCGCATTCTCAACTGAATTGAAATGTTGGTGACAGGAATGACTGCCTACTATTCTGAAAAACCTATCTTTCTTGGGTCATCCCGACTGGACTGTTCACTTTCAATGCCTCGGTCTCTACGAAACTTGCATCATCACGAGCTGAGTCGAAATAACGATCTGGACGGCAAAATGCGCAATTCTCAACGCAGACGCGTGCCAGTGGCAGTAAGAGCTCTCCAATCATCACTTTGATACGAATAACTGTCTTGTGTGTCTAACACCGCCACAATCTAGTGTGGTCGATGCCGAAGAAGAAAAATCAAATGTAGCGGAGACTCGGGAGACGGACAAGGCTGTTCGAACTGCCGTAGTGCCGGGAACACTGAATGTCAATTTCTACGGGTGAGTCGCCAGTGGATATGGACATATCTTGAAGCCATATTATATGTGTTGCGGCTCAGTCTGACGAGTCTTTTTCCACCAGGTGAATTCTCTGAAACTGTCTCCAAAAGCCAACAACTGGCCCTACCATCATCCAGCCTCAGTATACGCGTCCAACGTGGCAAGAAAGTCTTCCCTTAACTGCGGTGAATCCAGACTGCTTCCGAGTAGGATGATGGCTCAGGCTGTTGATGACTATGAGTTCAACACAACAGACAGCTCGGGCTTCTCTGAGCCCACATCTATTGGTATGACTTCGTCACAATGTGATGATAGTCAGTCTTCCACATACAGCCAGTCTCCCGCATACCCTCAGCCCATTTACGGCTCCTCTAACAACCTTTTCGAGTACGCAAATCCAACGTGGAGTCCAAAAGGGTGGGACTCTGCACTGGGCCTAAGCAGACCTAGTCATGGCACGATCTATCCTGACCCTGAGACAGCCTCCACAATGGCTCAGTCTGCATTCTCGTATCTCATTCCGAGCCACAGTCTTTCATCTTCAGAGGCTCCGCTGCCTATCGCTGGACCAGTTTCCGAGAGTTCTCTGGACTTTTCTGCACAAGACAGAATCCTCCCAACCCCAACATGTCGCAGTCAACAAATCTCAAATGGACTACCTGTATTGAACTTCCCTCTGGCGGAGCTGACGTCCAGCTCCTCTGTTCCTTTGGAAGCTAGAACGACTTACTGGAGTGCGCGCCCAGGGATGAGCCAGGGTTCTTGCAGTCCTGACAGCTCTCCATCAAGCAACGTCCTATTCAACAACAGTGTTTCCTCAGTTTCGAGTGGCCCAGAAACCACCTTGGCCACCATGTTCTCAAGCCTCCCAATACCGACCACGGCAGAGGAGGCCATCGCCTCCACCATGGCCCTTCCCACAGCAGCATCCACAAGCATGTCAGGGTCTTCCTACCCTACTCAGACTCTTGAAGCAACCACAGGTGGCCGCACAGTTCTACCACCAGGCACATGGGCTGGTCAGGTACTGTCTACCTATACCGAGTCCTCCTCCAGCCATGAGTCTTATCCAGAAGAGAGCCTTACAACCCAGCGCATGACCGAAATGACAGGAAACAACACTTCAAGTCTCTTCTACTCCACGATCGACAAATGCAGTCGCATTGGTGACACCCGCACCGCAATGACCCCCTCGTTGAATGGCGGTCTTGGGTATTCTTCAGTTCGCCCCTCGCATCTTTCCAATCCATCCTACACTGTGGGATTGGTTGGTAGTGAAATGCCTGAGTACCACCATGCGGTCATGGAGGGTATTCGTCGAGCCTCTGTTTCGCCTCTGAGTGGTCAAGGTGATTTCTAAGAGGTCCTGATGTGACCTTGCCTGGAGATTGATACAAGAACCTTGATCACATTTCTTTCCATTCTCTAAGCGTCAGAGCAGAGTCTCCGGTCCAGGTCCAAAAATGGCGGGACATCATACAAAGCATCATTTCTCACAACCCATATTTCCACGACCTTTTTCAGATTCACTCCGTTGTCATCCCCCCCCCCCCCCCCCCCCCCCCCCCCCTCATCCCCCCCCAGAATATTATTCGTGATGCTTCGCTGTTGGTTCTGCATATGATCTTTGGAGACTTTGCAGGAACATGAATCCCACGTTGCCTTTGCATCAGCAGGGATATTTTGGTGCCTAATGTATGAAGATCATTACCACGGCACAAGGTCCATGTGAGATATTGGCATTTTCTTGGCTGCAGGCCCAAGACAAATTCTAATATGCCATCTCACTCGATGTGACCTGATCTGATTATTTCTGCACTTTCTTATTTTTCATACCGGTTTCTCATGTTGTAAGCATGTCGGAGATTTTGTTCGAATCTCAGGCTTGGCTTCTGCTTTTGCTATGTTGATTGGATGTTTTGTAATGTTACGATGTGACTTTTGTGTGGCTTTTGTCGAGTTTTTCTCTTTCCTCTGCATTTTGCAGTTGTTTGTTTTTTCAAATGCTTTCTGCACTGTTCTGCTGCGCATCCTCAATTGCGTCTTCGTATTACTCGATATGCCTGAACTAATACCCTGTTCCTGGCCAACATACCCATAACCTAATGGATCTCTTGTTTGAGTGTTTTGATACTATACAATCACTAACTCTATATCGCAACCAATGTGACTATCCTGGATCTGTTCTTCTGGTATGATAGAATAATGAAAAGGACCTGAACTATGAGATAAGCTCTCAAGTGTATGTTTTCGACTAGATTTCTCTGATTATGTTATGTTTGTGCCTCGAAGGGGTCATCGGCTTCTAAGTTCACTAGTGCATACTGAGGCTGTGCCGCCTTGTCCCGTCATGACACGGGGAAGAAAAAGCCCTTAGATATTCTTCTGAAAAGTTGGTCTCGGTCTCAATTTCATAGCAGAATCTAACCACTCATTCCAAAGCTCAGATTGCTTATCTTGGCATGGGAGGTAGGACACCTTCTCATCTTCCACTCTTCGACGCTGAAATCTCTCTAGACCGTCTAGGAACCAGGGCCAGCGGAATGGTCACACACAACGGTCTCTCCCACATTCGACAGGGCAACTCCACCTCACAAGTGCCGGCTACGGCCGAGCGGTTTGTGTCGCTTGAGAAGGAATCTTGCAAGAAACATCTTCATCGAGGAAGAAAGAACGTTGAACAGCGCCTACCGGACTCCATTCCGACTGGTCGGAAACACCTACGTTATACACAGGCTTCTGAGGCCCTCGTGCTAAATCTGCTACCCTGAAGCACATGCCTACATAACACTAAAATATGATACCCAGATTCAAAAGCACAAGCCCTGATTTCCTGATTCGGAGAAAAGCCTCCGGCTGGTGGATGAAAAACGTGAGTAGAGGCGCACTCCGTGTCTGCGGCTTCGTGTAAGGTTCTGCACCCCAGTTGAGGGGGGAGTTGAGTAGTTGCGGGTGCGACAGCAGGCTTCGGGTTGTCAGACTTGAAGCTATATCATTGACATTAGCCACAGGTTGTGTAGCGAGAATTTTCAATTCTTGAATGTCCAGTTGACTCAACGGATTCAGGAAAATGCTCTTTTGGGTAAAAGGTGCAGGAGATGTGTTGCGAGACTTGGATTGGTAGAGATAAGGGCGAGGATCGGACAGGTCACACGGGCTCTGTCAGTTTTTTTTTTCCAGCGCAACGCAGAGAGGGCCACCTACTATTGCTTACCATGTTTTAGCAAGACATCGAAGAGGTCAGGGTATCATGAACGATAGTCTTTTGTGATTGTCGTTACAGGGTAAACTGGCAAGGGCACAAGGCCACTTGGTAATACAATGATAGCGCATTACAACTTGAAGATCTCATACACTGCTCGAGCGTCACAAGATCAGCAAGGTGCCTCGGTCGTCAAATTGGCCAACAATGACAAGGCACGCGTACAGTGGGCGACGCTCATTGAAGAGAAACAGTCCGGGGTATGCAGTACGACATGTTTGATCGTGTGAGGTGGCGGACTTGCTTCGATAGTAGTAGATGAAGAATGGTGGACCTTGCACATGATCTTGACATCAACAAGACCAAGGGCAAGATCAAGTCGTGTTTGACAGACTGTTTGTATGGGTCCTCGATGTCGTAATTGACCGAATAACATCACGTTGGCTGGAGACTCAGTTACGATTTACAGGGGATATGGATCAGATAGTGCGTGTCGCTCTGTGTCATGTCGGGCGCATGTTGGTGTTACAGAGAAAAGCACGGGTCCTGCTCGTTGGACAGCCATATGACAAGACGTGGAGTGGGCGACACTCCGGCTTCATTTCATCAAGTTGCAAATGATTGCAAAGTGGAGACTCGAGACTGGGGAGTCGAAGACCCACCCAAGGCATAGGACAGGATGTTTCGATCCGCAACACTAATGTCACTCTATCAATCGACGGGAAATATGCGACTCAAGAGCATACTAAGACGAGATCCAAAATATGGGCGTAAAAGCTGCTAAGCCATCAGGCTTGTCGAGCTGGTCTCTACACAAGCCAATCGAATGCTGGGATTGGACAAGGCACGACACATGCGAGATCTACTTGCAAGGACTTGGAAATTGGGTTGAGGTTTCAGGATGAGAGAGATCAACGACCTGCGTGTGTTTTATGTAATCGTCATGGTATGAAGTCATTTTGAATTTTTCGAGGAGATAGCTTCCATGCTGGAGGGTAAAATGCCATTCCTCCTTCCATTTCTCTCATACATCGCACCACAACCTGTTGCGGACAAATGCAGATGCAAAGGAGCCGGAAACAGGCCGCAACCACCAGGCCACTAAACGCTGCATCCAAGCATAATTGATATGGAGCGAGACGCTTAATCCTTGTTCTTCTTGGGGCCCTTGGTCTTGGCAGTACCGCGGAACTTCTTGGAGCGGTTCTTGCGTTGCTTGCCTGTGGGAGGGGGGAAGGGTCAGTTTCAAGGGATCAATATACAGGATCCAGGTGCCTGGTCAATCCCTCTCGTGGAAGAGAAGGAGACCCTGCCCCGTCGGTGTCACGGGGGGCGTGGTAAAAATAATATAATCGCAACAATGATTGGAGACGTACGCTGCTGGCGGGAAGCCTTCTCGACCTTGGTGGCGGCACCAATGCGGACCAGACGGTAGGCGGGCTCGAACTTCTTCAGGGCCTCGGCGGAGTCGTAGACCAGAGCGAAACCGGTAGACTTGCCACCACCGTACTGGGTACGGAAACCGAAGACGGAGACCTGGTCCTTGTTGGACTTGTACAGGTCGGCCAACTTCTCGCGGAGCTCATCCTTGGAGACGTTGGGGCGGTTGGGGTGGAGGACATCCCTGAGAGAACGGAATCATGTTAGTGAAGATGTTCCGAGGAAGAACTTTCGAGGTGTTGGTCGCGTGTGTGGTGCGTGTTCGCATTCGAAGGATCCTGCGCACGAGTTTTCCAGCCCTGGACATCTGTATCGAACATAGATGGCAAGCTGCAGGGTTGTCGCAGCGCTGATTTAAATCTTCCGCAGATTTGTGCCCCGACGATAACAAAACCCGCGAAAAGAATCCTTCGAAATGTTGAAACCGCTTCCCACATTCGATCCGAACACAACGAAAATCGCAGAAAAAGGTGGTGGTATGCTTACACGACCATCTGCTTACGGGCGAGCAGAGGGTTGCGAATGAACTTGCGAGTCCGCAGGGTAACAGGAGTGTCGGCCATTTTGGTGGTGTCGTGGTGATGCGAAGAGACGGGTTGTGGAGTTGTCAATGACTTTCAATTTTCGTGCGGTGTTCTCGGCTAAGAACTGGCGCTAACCGTGTCAGGAAGCCGCCGGCTGAGGTCAGCAGCACCGAGATCGTCAAGTCATATGACCATGCGCTTATCTGACTATTGATAAGACCTCGATCCGCTGAAGTGGAGCTCTAGATGATCCGTTTCTGGAATGTTGTGTCGTACTCTATTCCGAACAGCGCAAATAATGGCAGACAACCTCCTCAAACTAGAGGCACAATATTTTCAATTAGTAGAGCCACGGGATCTACACATACCGCCCGAGGATGTTCTGCTTCAGCCGGCCATTCAACAAGCTCTCTATGAGCGCATGTTCGACGAATCTCTCCCCGCTCTTCCGCCTGCGGCGTACCGCACGAGAGTACTGAAATTGATCACTACGCTGATCGAAGATGCGATCACAGACCCGGACGAAGATGTACGTCTGTCATAGAAATACACATTCCATCGTCACTTGACCCACTATTAATCTAAGTGCTCCGCATTACTTTGGAGCCTTTCAACTGACTCCCTCGTAGGAACTCAATGATAATTTAATGGAAGCTTTCGGCACTCTGCTAGCTCAGCCCAAGCCTAACTCCATCGAGTTGGCTCAACAACTTTCAAGTGTCAAATACACCGCTCCGCGAGAGTCTTCAGAATCCAGGCCCCGAGAAGTTGTGACTATAGAGTCGCGAGGTTTGATCCTTTCGGGCGGGACTACTGGCAATCGGACATGGGAAGCCGCACTCCATCTTGGCTCCTTCCTCGCGACACCGGAGGGAGATAAACTTGTTCGAGGCAAGCGTGTCATTGAACTAGGTGCAGGAACTGGATTTCTGTCCCTTTTTTGTGCCAGGCATTTGGGTGTGCGCAGTGTTGTAGCGAGTGACCGCGAGCCCAGTCTCATTGCGAATATGCAGGACTGCGCGGTACTGAATTCTGATAACGAGTGTTCTCTTCCATTTTTTCCTGCTCTATGGAACTGGGGCACACCGCTCGAAATTTCGGACGACATGCCATCCCTGGTCGAGAATGATATGTTATCATTTGATGTTGCCTTGGGAGCTGATCTGGTAAGTTAATCGACGCAAGCCCTCTTTCTACAACTCAACTAATCTTCATTTGGGACAGATCTACGATACCGACATCATACCTCTTCTGTTGTCCACGATTGAGGATCTCTTTGAGAATTACCACGTCAAAAAATTCGTCATCTCCGCGACCCTCCGAAACGAGAACACTTTCCAGACATTTTTGGACGGATGCGGTAAGAATACACCCAGTTGTTTACTTTGCACGGTACTGACAAAATGTTGCAGAGCAAACCAATTTCAGAGTTGAGAAGATACCGTACGAGTCTATAGACTCGCAGTCACAAAGTGGATTCTTTCACTCGACGAGCATACCGATAGTTACATATCAGATTTCGAAGGGCGGAGAATGATGGTTTTCTTGTTTCATCGAGTCCATTGTCATCATGAGCACGATAACACATGCAGTTCCAACCCCCCTGGTTTGTCGAAAAGTTTCCCAGTACTAGTCAACTGCAGGATCGCCCTGTCGTGGTTTTCTTTTTACAAGTCCTCATCCATGCCGACAGTACGTCTGCTCATATGCCATTGAGTGTCTGACGTGTCAATCTCATGCCTACATATTCATGTCGCTTGCTAATCCGCCATAGCGACTATTTCCTAATGTATCTAGTGGCAGTCTAGATAATCTTGCAAATGAAAGCGGGCTGTCGAAATGTTATCAGATGCGCGAGATCATTCCGTGTTACCCGCGGCGACAGGGTCCGCTCCTGTAACGCAAAACGGGAATGATGAGACTCCCACAGACACATTGTTCAGACCCGGTACATTGTGACCTCATATAGCTCGAATACGCCCTTCAATGTCGTCCATTGAGGAGCGGCTGAAACGTAACGCAATCAGTGTCAAATTGCAAGTGGTTTGGCACATGCTACTTACGGCACCGACTTACTCCATGGGGTCCATTCAAATCGGACAATGAAGCTCGCTTGAATAAAGGTGAAATGGCCAATTCCCCCAGCTATCGACGTGCCAAAGGCTTCTGGCCTCATAAACAATGTTGCCGAAGACGTATGTAGGCTGTATTCATGGTCTTGTAAGACCATGTGACGGTATGCGCAGGCTCTCTGACTGCCACGAGGACGCACCCAGTTGCTGTCTGGATCGCGAACATGGCCACACCTCCCTATGCGCATATCCTGGAGGCGGGTAAGAAACCACTGCACATTCAAGTGTGTCTGAGCGGTCTGGAGCAAGAAATAATCGGCAGACAACCGAAGAAATCGGACACATTTTAGTTCTCTCTCTGCCATGGTTCCATTTTCGATTTCGGACCGTCCATGCCCCCAGGGTAAGAGACGCCGGAATGAGATGGTTTTCTTCTGTCTTTCACTGCGCTGTCAAGTAGCGATACGCTGTCTTTTTGTCTTCTGGGCTTACAGCTTGACAGGTTTTCAGCATATCTTTTTGACTCCTCATTGATCATGCAAGTTAGTGTTTGTATCCCTTCGCCATCGGTACGCAACGAAATTGCTTCGCCAAATCGGCTCACGCTAGCAGACGGAGCTGCTTCATTCGTGGAAAAGCTACAGCACCTTGTTCATGATCCGTGGAGAGGCGATGCCTGTCTGTGGAGATACCTCATTGTCGGGAACTACACCTCATTTTTTAAATCGAAACACATTCTGTTCTCGATGGACTGGTTCCGTTCCCTCCGGCATTTTCTTCTGGCATGGCCGATCGCTGCCGATGCAGTTTTCATTAGGGATACAGCCCCGTTTGAGGTTCTAGGTAAATCCACCCACGTCCCCTGCCACCCACGCTTCTCGATCTCCAGCTCCTGGGCCCTCTTGGCAAGAGATTACTATGGTACACAGCGGAGATCAGGCTCTGCCATCTCATTCCATCACTCTCGAGATTCTTCTGTTGAAGAGAACCCAAATTGTGGTCTACCTCGCCTATTCAAACCGCTCGACCTCTATAACCTCTACATCTCTTGACATGACGACCTTACGTGGCCCCGACATACCCACCTCAATGGACTTGTGTTCTCGATCGGTGATCCCTTTCAGGCACCTTCATATTCAGTCGAAGCGCGACAGGTTTTCCAAAGCCTCCTTCAAAAGCTTCAGGTCCGGGTCCGAGGTCCATAATCAACACCGGGCTTTCATCCTCGGTTACACATCAAATTACTCCGCTTCGGTAGGGCGAGTAGGCCTAATGCAGAATGTAATCCCAGGGTAAGGTCAATTCTTCTGAGGTGGCGGAAGTGTTCGTCAGTTCAAAAAGGTGGCAAGTCTTCTGATTCCAGCCTCTTTGACCCAGGCAGAGTCAAATGCTTTCCGCATCCTGTTGTCTGAAGGACTTTTCGGAAAATGTGAGCCACGGTCCGACAACGTCCATCGTATAGTCTCCGTACGAACGCGCCAGATTGTCCAACGCCCTGATCTGATTGTCCGCCAAGGCTCGGGGTCTCCCGGTCAATCTTTGACGCACGCGTAGCTGATATGAGTATAACACTGCTAGTGCGGTATACATGATAGGTATGAGTTGCAAGCGTAGGCGTCGCCGATTCATTTACTGCTTGATCCGGGTATTTCTGGTTGTAGATGTAAATATGAAAAGAGTTGTGTCTGGGTGTTTGGAAGGAAGCCCTGTAGATAGCGACTGATGTCACCTTTCAACGGAGTGAAGCGGCAAGAGCTCAGAGTTGAAAGCTGGCTCGTTCGGGGTCCTCATTTTAGATTGTAGAGGATGCTTCCGGAGCAGCCCTTATTTAAGTGGTCTTGGAGTGTGATCATCCCCTCTGGGATGGGGTGTCTGCGCCCCTGTGAAGTTCTTTCGACGAGTCCATGTCATTCCAGGCAACACATGAAAAAAAAATCTTGGATGTAAGTACTGACAACATGACGAGCCAAGGGGCGATCAGAGCGAACTGGAGTTGTTTGGTGGGTAATCGTGTAGATAGTCCTACTCGTGATGATTTGTTTTGACTTGATCATATTTATACTTACAAATCTGAAGGAAGATACTCGATCAAATCGTCATATACATAACAATCTATCTGAGTAATGACATGTAAAAACTTCGCGGGCCTAGGGTCCCTGGACATTAGTTCCCATTATGCGACAGCCTTTGTAAGTTGGTGCCGCCTCCAGCTGTCTTTCCTGACAAGATGTGGTACTGCAGCCGATAAGCGCGACAGAAACGAAGGTATCGCACTTGCTAAACTCATGCAGTAAGCTTGGATGGCCAACCCGACGCCCTGTATAGCCTTCACCTTACTTCAGCTGCAATTATTGGGGGCAAAAGTTCAGTTATGTAGGCTACATCATAGTCTCACGTGCATTTGAGATGATCCTTCTCGATGGTTCTTTAGACGGTCAATTGGAGAAGTCTTTCGGAGTAGTTCTTCGTGAGACCTGGGTGTGAAAAACAAAATGAAATTTTATCATCTTACAAATACTGTGGTCTTTTCGGACTCAACCCGTCACTAGAAATCTTTGTCACATTCATCATATTCGTTCCCGAGCGGCGAGTACATTTATCGGCCGCCAGAGACTTGACCCTATCAAATCCTAGTACGTCGATCTTGTAATGACTTCTCATTGCCCTGAAGAGTAATTGCCGGCAGAATTTTGAGCCTCCGTGTAGATCGTATGAGAACTAACAGCTGATGGTCCAGGGACTGACCGCGCATACGCAACTGGTCTCTACCGCAGACAGGGCCGAGCCTCAAACTGCGAAACCCACAGCCCCAGTAAAATGGGCGCGACTGGGCGGACCCATATCTGTAGCCCAGCCGCGCCAAAAAAGAAAAATTATTTCTCGATCTCAGCTTTCATGACCACGAAGCATCACCAAAAAGTTAAGGCCCGAGCCCGGGATCGAACCGGGGACCTCGCGCAGGTATGCTTTGGGTGAACCCTAAGCGCGAATCATACCACTAGACCACCCGGGCGCTTGATATAATGCTGGTGAAACTTTTGACATTATGAAGCTACACAGTCAAAATCTCCATCCAGTGCTCCACAGCTACATTCGAAAACTCCTTCAAAACGGCAGCCAACCCTTGTACGTACGCACCAGCTAGTTCAGACTGTGTAATTTACCCTCCCCCCTCCCCAGCCGAAACAACAGTATTCACTGCCGTGCGTCACTATGTACTTGATCGCGAATCAAGCAGAAAGGAGTCTTGTATCTCCCATGCAAAAGGGAATCTGTGGGCTGACGTACGCCTGGTAAGGAGCGTTCCACGTTCAACAGGACAAGAATATACTAAAACCATATAGCCTGGCTTGGTACTGTCATTCAATGAGAGATTTTGTTCAAGAGGACCCTGCAGTGCCTTTCTGTTTCGTCGAGATATGGTTTCTTCCATCTCTCATTCTCGCGAATGGTCGCTATATATTTGAATCTTTTCTGAGACGCCCTGGCAAGTAATCCTGCCTTACAGTCTCATATCTTCGAGATTAGTGGATTGGAAGACAATGCTTACAAGCAAGATGTTCCGTGTCTCGTGAGCATCTCTTGTGGCATCAAAATTACTATTGATATCTGGGTATTTAGAATTACCACAGAGGTCGAGGCATCAAGTACAGCCATGGGTCACCAATCCACCAGGGAAACACCAGTCGACCGTGCACCTGAGAGAACAAATGGCGGATCATGGAGACTCAGTTCCGAACGGGGCGAGAAAGCATTCGGCAGCTGCTAGTCATTCTGTGTACTAATCGACCAGATATCAGAGCGTATGCTCTATTCCGCCCTGGGTGTCTGAACATGGGCCCTATTGGTGACGGCTGCCTCTAAACAGTCATTTCTCTATGCCTCGGACACTTTTGTCCTTGGCCAGGGCAGTCATCTCGAAGAAGTGCGTCTCCTCTGCTGGACGCGTGTCAAGAAGTATGTGGGCGTCCGAAATAACATCGCATCCATGCACGATCGCCTGAATCGGCAGTCTGATCTGTCCATGTGCTTTTCGCCTTCTCCCGTGCGCGAATCTCTTAGGAACGTTAGTCAGCAACCTTACCGTACATTGAAGTACATGAATCGAAATTTCATGAGCTGTCTGTTATCAGCGGAGAGCTCGACGTTCCTCAAGACTTACGCGGCGACTCTCAGGTCCTGCGCAGCGTTCTGGGTACGTACATCAGTGATTGTTGAGTCTTGCTCGCCGGTCTTCTGTTCCGAGGCCGGAAAGTAGTTCTCCCAGTCTTGGTAGTAACGGGTACGCTCCTCGTTGGCCATGATTTGCTACCTTTTCGACCATTCGGACCGTAGCAGACTGTGTGGCTCGAACAGCCTCTTCTTGTCGCTACGACAGGGGTTTCGCTTGATCGGCCATTTTCGATACGAGGATTCGCATATTACCAACTTTAGGCTGCTATATGTTCGTGTGGCATGTGACACTGCCGTCTCACCACGGTTCATGGCTTGGAGAGTATCTCCAGGTCCTCGCTAGTCCATCTCACAGTCATATCTCCCACACATGATACAGCTGCACGTACCACTATAGCTATATTGCGCTATATACTGTAATACTGCATTAATGTGAGTCTTGTACAACTGTATTGTTGAGATAGCTTGGTGGTCAGGCGTGTCACCAGCGCGGTGCGCGCCCACGCACACCACCTTCGTAGCTTAGATAGGCACCTCTCACCAGATGCAATCTCACCATTCCTTTCTCCCCTCTTTTGGGTCTGCTACGTTCTCACAGTAGCCTCTAATAGGTTATGAGCCCTGCTTAGCGCACAAAAAGTGAGGTTATTCACATTTCCTCACTGCCTAGGCATAACTTGCAAAATAACCTCCTTCTTTTTCCATCGTTTTTCGGCGCGTTTTGCGCCTTCTATAGAGTGCAGACTTCGCACCTTTTTACGACTTGATAATCCCTACGGCTACCGAAGCTATCGTATCGAATCGTCGCTAAAGTCCCTCCTTCAGGCTTCTACGCCATTTTCAGAGCTCTTACGCTCTTTACCTGCGCAGCGGTATATCGCCGTAGCAGGCACGCCTACGCAGCGGTACTTCGTCGTAGTAGGATCAATATATATAATAACTTCGTGTTATTTACGCATATTCAACATGGTTTCCGATCTCGAGGCTTATAAGGCGGCTAAAACCTTCGCCGAATCAGTCCCTATACTTAAGGGAAGAGCTAACTTCGAGAAATAGAAACAGGGGCTTTAATTTGTTGTAGATAGCCTAGACGAAGATCTATGATCTATTATTATAGGTAACCTAATATACCCTATTCAAGAGCCTCGTGATACTCCTACAGAGGAAGCTATCCAAAACGTCCTTTTCGCTTAACTTAGACGAGAACCTACCGAAGAGGAATTTAATAAGTAGATTAATGAGAATATAACTTAACTAAATAACAGATTTCACTAGTTTCGCCGAAAATATACGCTTGCGAAATACCTTATCTATTACACACTTAGCGATTTAGCTCGTAGCTTTATACGCGATTACAAAGATTCATATAAAATCTTCCTTCGTATTAGTAATATATATAGCACTAGCAACTACACTGCTTTGAGCTATAGGCTATCATCTTTAATTAAGCTTACTTATACTAGTAGTGATCTGTATAATTTCGTTACTAAATGGTAAGCTACTTTGGACCTTACGAATTCAGCCGTTCTAAATACCCCCTTACCACCTAAATAGGCTCTGGCCCATTTCAAGCTTATAATTAATAGCTACTAAAGTATAAAGGGTTTCTTGAATATGTATAAACCTCCAGCTAATCCGGACAGCATACTTGACTATATTTTCGGTAAATTTATTAAATATAAGTTAAATAAAAAGTCTGTAAATATAGTAATCGTAGCTATTTCTACCTCGAAAGATACGAAATCTACGTAAAATAACGATCGAGGTAGAGGTAGAGATAGAGGTCGAGGAGATAGAGGCCGCGGCAGAGGCTCCGGACAAGGTCGTGGCTAAAGTTAAAATAACTAGGATAATAATAATCAGCTATCGCATTATTATATCTACTATAAGCGTTTAACAGCTTATACTAGTAAGTAGTGCTTCTTTAACCCTAAATCTAAGGGTACCTCTTAAGGCAGAGTTAATATAGCTATAGCTAGTACTTCTAATTTAAAAAAGGACTTAAATTCGAAGGAGATATCTAAAAAGAAGATCTTAGCGAGCTTCGCCGAAATAAGCTTATTAGCCGTTAATATTACGGCTATATTAACAGATAACGATAAATAGTGCACTTAGATAGTAGATTCTGGCGTATTAGTATATATGATACCTTATCGTGCAAATTTTATTAATTTTACGCTACTTATTACCGATATAAAGCTTCTAAATAGTTATTAAGTACAGACTAAAGGATATAGCGATATTATCCTGAACTTTATAAATAGAAATAATATTTCTGAGCTTAAGCTACTCAGAGTCTGGTATATTCCTTCTTTTAATATAAACCTTATTTCCTCGTAGTAACTTACGAAGGATTCTGGTATTAAGACTCGATTTAACAAGATATATAGCTTCCTATATAGGGGGGAAGAGCTTATCGTTACGGTAAAGCAGGAGAACGGTTAATATTAGGTTCGTACTTATAATAGTAATAGCCTTATTGATATACTTAGAGCTCTATCTGTTTAACTGTCTTATGTATTTGGTAATAGCTACGCACCCGCCGCAGATTTAGCTATAGCTTCTTAAATCGGTAAGATTCAACCTATTTTAATGGACCTAGCTTATCGTAGAGCCTATCACGTAGGCGAGCAGAAGGTGAAGCGTATACCTAAATATACCGAAGGAATTAACATCAAAAAGGGATCTGGTATTAAGCACCCTTATCCTCCTTGTATTCTTAGTAAAGGCTATACCTTACCTTTTAGACGAAGTAAGCGTATTAAGACTATACTAGCGCAGAAGCTTTATATTAATATTTAGGGTCCTATCTCTATCGCTAGCGTTAGAGGTAATCGTTATTTTGTAATAGTTACCGATAATACTACTCGCTTCTGTTAGGTCTTCCTATTAAAGGCGAAAAGCGAAATTGCTAATAAAATTCGTATATTAGTAACCTATTTTTTAACGTAATTTAACTATAAAGTTAAGGTGATTTTAGGCGATAATACGTAAGAATACGTTGAAATCGCTACTTTTTGCGAAGAAAACGGTATTATTTAGGATCCTGTTCCCCCCTATATACCTTAGCTTAACGGTATTACGGAGATCAGGAATCGTTGGCTTATTAAGCCGCTAATCGCCGTATTAGCTGAAAATCAGCTTCCTAAATATCTATGGGGTGAACTACTTTTAGGTATTAATTATATAATGAACCGTCTCTGGTAGTCTACTATTGATATAACTCTATATAAAGCTTTCTATAGTAAAAAGCTAGATATTTCAAATCTGCGCGTACTTAGCTACTAAGCTTAGTATCTGATTCTAAAGGAACGTAGGGTAGATAAGCTTTCTCCGTATATAGCCGAAGTAAGGTTAGTAGGCTATAGTACTAATAGATATCGACTCTATGATATTTATTTAAAGAAGATCGTGGTCTCTCGTAACGTGGTCTTTAATAAGAATATAACGAAGGATCTACCTAAGCCTACGTACGATCTTAATACAGAGCTAAAGTCAGTTCCTGTGTAATCTACGGCTAATTAACGCCGTTACGTGCTATCGGATTTCCTACCGGCTAATAGCGATTAACTAATTTAGCTAGATTTGGCTAATGGCCCTGATAAGCTAGTATAGCTAGTGACTCTATCTCCTTATATTCTAACAGGAGACCTACTATTATCTAAGCGGTCTAATATACCACTTTCTTTATTTAAACGCGAAGTCTAACTTAAAAAGCTTCGGGAACAGATTAAGCGGAGATTCGCCTATAAACAGAATGAATATATCGACGATAGCCCTTAAACTATGGAGGATAGTTCCGAAACTATCGAGGGTAGTCCTAGAAATATCGACGATAATCTTTAAACTATAGAGGGTAGTTCTGAAACTGTCGAGGGTAGTTCTGAAACTATCGAGGCTAATCCTAAAACTATCGAAAGTAGTTCTTAGAATATACCTAAGATAGGTCTTCGGCGTTCCTTACGAGTCCGTAAGAAGACTTAAGCGGCTATAGAGTTAGAGGAATATTTACGTTTTCTTAAGCGTTTAAATATAGCTCTAGCTAATTATATTAAATACGCTACTTTTTTAGTTCGTAGTATAGCTATAGACGTATAACTACTTCTAAAGCTTTTATATTAAGCTTTAGCTTAGTTAATACTATATAAACTAGATAGCTAGTAGGATATATTACAGAATTATAGTAAGGATAAACAGACTAAATAGATTAAAGCTATAGATAAGGAAATATATAAGTAGCTGATAAACGGTACCTAGCGTGTATATGATCTTCCTACTAAGGGCACTAAAAAGACGCTTCTTCTACTTCGATAGGTCTTTCGTATTAAGGATAATAGGACCTATAAAGCGCGTCTCGTTATAAAAGGGTTTAAGCAACGCGAAGGAATCGATTATCTTGATATTTATATAAGTATAGCTAAAGCTTTAAGCTTTAAAATATTCTGCGTAATTACTACGTATTTCGGCTGGTAGATATATTATATTAACTTCGTTACGGCGTTTCTTAACGCAGAGCTTCTTAAAGAAATCTATATTTAACTTCCTAATGGTTTTAAAGAGCCTGGAAAATACGGCCTTCTTTTAAAGACTTTGTACGGTCTAAAACAGAGTCCTCGCGAATAGTATAATACTATTTATAGGGCTCTTATAGCTCTTAGGTTCAGTCGTTTATAAGCTGATTATTCGGTCTTTATATATTTAAAGCGTAAGCTTTACCTTCTTATACACGTTAATAATATACTGATTATCACGCCTTTAGACGTATCTCTTATATAGCTTAAGGACTATATTCGAAAATCCTTCGATATTACTGATAACGGTACTGCTACGCGATTCCTTACGATTGATATCGTTTATATAGATAGTAAGGTAAAGCTCTCTCAGCTCGCCTATATTCGTAAAGTCCTCGCGAAATTTAACCTATAAGATATATACGTAGTCCCTACGCTATTTTATGATAAGGAGATCCTATAACCGCGTAAGGATACTACTACTCCGGCGGAAGTTAAAGCTTACCGTAAGATAGTAGGCTTACTTATTTAGCTAATGGTTAATACGCGACTAGATATTATATTCGTAGTTACAAAGCTTGTAAGATATACGTATAATCCCTCCGCGAAGTATATAAC